TTTAGTGGAACAGAAGAAGTATAAAGTTAGAGTTAAGAACCAACCATTGAAGCGATTTTTTTACAAATTAAGGCTGAAATAGGACTACAGACTTTTGACTTTCCAAACGTAGGACCTGTTTTTAATTTGACAAAAAAGGGACCAGCATTTTCAATCGACACCAGACCTCCAAGCGACGCACCAGACTCAAGATCCCAGTCTTCTCCGAACTTCTCCCCTGCGCGCTGCAACAGCACCGACCAAACCTCCAAACATCAACGCCGGACACCTTTTCGCCGATACACGCCGTCGCCCGCGCCTGCCGCCGCCGCTCGCCAACAGCGTTGTTCTTCTTCGTCTCGATGCTTCAGCGGCTCAACAACGAAGCTGTCTTGGTCGACGATTCCATGGATGACGGAAGTAGCTTCAATAAAGCCTTCACCTGTGTTACCAGATCCGTGGCGGATGCAGTTTTGTGTGCGACGACGACGACCTTAATTATCAGATCTGCGGTCGCCTAGAGCAGGGGAGGGGGAAATGGTGGCCGGAGGTAACGGGCCTGGTTGCCTGGGGAACGGGATGAGGTCCAGACAAGGTCTTGGGCGCTGGTGGGGTCGAGTAAGGTTTGTAAGGCTGATCCGGCGGCGGCCAGAGCATAGGCGGCGGCGGCCGGAGCATAGGCGGCGGCCGGAGCATGGGCAATGGCCACTCACTGCAGGGGTGGTCAATGGTCGTGTTTGGTCATGACCGGATTGGTCATAGTCGGGTTGGTCAAGGTCAAATTGGTCATGGTCGGGTTGGTCATTGGTCGAATTGATCACGGGCGAATTGAACACAACCGGATTGGTCACGGTCGGATTGATCACGATCAGATTGGTCACAGTCGGATTGGTCACTGTAAGTGGACATGTTGGTAACTGTAATTGGACGGATTATGTAACTGTAAATATAATTGGGTGGGTCGATAACTATAACTGGACTGGTCGGGTAAGTGTATCTGGACAGGTCAGGTAAATGTAACTGGACGTGTGATGTAACTGTAACTGGACGGGTTGGGTAACTGTACCTGGATGCGTCGGGTAATTGTACCTGGACGGGTCGGGTAATTGTAACTGGACAGATTGGGTAACTGTAACTGGACGGGTCGGGTAATTGTAACTGGACAGATTGGGTAACTGTAACTGGACGGGTCGGGTAACTGTAACTGTGCGGGCGGACGTTGGTCACTAGATGTGCGGATGGTTGTCACTTGGCGGAATTTGGATTTTTGGTCACTAATGATTTTTGACGGATTTTGGTCATGGTCCTTGTGATTATACACAAGCACTAATGGATGAGATTTTTTTTCCACTCAAACACAACATTTTATTAATTTGAGGAGCAAAGTTTTGGAATTACATGGTGATTGTCTAGCTACGAGCATAAAGAGAACAATACACAAATGAAGCAGTGCAATAGTCCAAGATCGTAGTGGGCCTGGAGGAAGCTAATACACCAGGGGGATGTCGGCCGATAAAACGGAACGGGTTGGTTATACGTAGTAGTCTTTTAATCAAAAGTTCCATTTTTGGAAAGTGAAAAAAAGGTTCCTTTTTTGTCCATAGCTCTTTTTTTAGTATTATTTAAGACATAACCCCATTTTTTTTAACTTGAAAACAACGCTAAACAGATCTTTTTTTTTCTTTTCATTTTTGTGTCATTTCATTTAATGAAAATGGATTAACTAGATTTTATTTTACTATGTGATAAATAGTAATCAATCAACCAACTGTGTTAATTGTGTGACTATTAGGTCAATGAACCCACTGGTTTTATCACATTGTACATGTCATTAGTTTGTTTATGCTTACTAATGCATATTTACATATTTACAAAATAACCTAGAAGCTATTAATAAAAGGTGTTATAATAGAGTGCCTATATTGTACACCTGGGTGTACGTACATCCGGTTTTTTAAAATGGCCAAACTTGTTTTTAGGACCAAATCCGGACTTCAGGAAAAAAGAAAAAACACCAGCGGGATTCGATCCCTGGACTTCAAATATAGCCTGCAGCACTCCATCCATCTCAGCTACTTGTCTCTTTGAAAATATCCGTCCTTTTTTCTTACTTAGCCTACATGTTTTCATACTCCCTACTACAATTGTTTATTAATAGTAATTATAATATTAACTATTCTTTGTTTTTGCTCATTATTACTATATTAAAACTAATTCAAACTAAGTATTTATTTAATCTATGAATCGTACTATTAATTAATTTATATAAATGTATTTATAATTTTATTATATATTGTTAGGTTTCTAATAAACCCGATGCTCATCAAAAGTGTTTTAATCCTCATAATAGGTCTAATGCACATTATGCTCATTAATGCTCATTATATATTGTTAGGTTTCTAATAAGCCCGTTCTTCGTTTTTGTTATTTTGTACGAAGTACATAGCTCTCATATTTTGAGAAGTGGTGAGACACTAAATAGCTATCATTATCTCTAGCTATAGTTAGTTTTTCATGTGCTCTTTGCACAACTCCAACCCCCATTGTACATTTTATTGAAAACAACAAAAGACTCAGAATTAAAGAAAAGTACTAGTATAAAACAATTGAAAGATGGTTCAGAAAAATGAGCACTACTGAACTTTTAGTGAGCAACAGACCTATTATGTTGAGTATTAGGAGTCTAATATTTAGAATTGTGATCTCTGCTTCATATTTTCTAATTCACTTTCTTTGTTGTTATTAAATCGTAAGTTGTTAGTTGAACATCATCACATTTTCATTGAACATCAAACCTCCACTATCGAGATAAAATCATCGTTTCGTGTAAATGAGCACTAATGAACCTTTAATGAGCAGCAGACCTCTTATATTGAGTATTAGGAGTCCAATATTTAGAATCGTGATCTCTACTTCATAATTTCTAATTCACTTTCTTTGTTGTTATTTTGTCTTTTATAAAAACTTACTACATTATATTTATGACATTGATATGACATTTACAAAATGAGCATAAGATCAGTACCAGATGAGCATACATAACTTACAAAATGAGTATTAGTGAATTTGTTAGTTGCTTTGTTAGTTGAACATCATGACATTTTAATTGAGCATCAAACCTTGGTTATTGAGATGAAAGTCACCGTTTCTTCTGAATGAGCAATAATGAACGTTTAATGAACATCAGACCTATTATGTTGAGTATTAGAAGTCTCATATTCAGTATCGTGATCTCTGCCGCATACCTTCTAAGTCACTTTCTTTTTATTACTTTTTCTTTTTATAAAAACTTAATAAATTATATTTATAATCAAATCTTATGAAATTCAATATGTAATTCAATATGTGAATCTAATGTAAAATAGTACTTTAAAAAATGCATTGATATGATTATTAAAACACTTTTAATGAGCATCGAACTTATTCAATTGAGTATTAAGATCTTAACAATGTGAATCCAATGTCATATGCAACTTTTAAAATTTGCATTAAAATTTGCATGAATATGACATTTTAAAAATGAGCATAATATGAGTACAAATTGAACAAACGTAACTTACAAAATGAGTATAAACCGTAAATTTTTTTAGTTGAACTTCAATACATTTTTATTGAGCATTAAAACTCCTCTATTGAGTATTGAACAAATGCAATTGAGTCTCATGGTCAGTGCTTATATATCTATAATCAACTCTTGCATATATGAATCAAAAATATAAAACTAAAACATTTAATAATATTTTATATTATACATTTTCATAATAATTGAGTATAACATTAAAGTGGAAGGTTACTAAAAATCGCGGCTTCCGCTAAATGAGCAATAGTGTAATTTTAGTGAGCATCTCGCCTATTTTTATTGAATATTAGGAGGCTAACCATGAGTTTCACGATATTTGCTTCATATATTCTATGAAGCAAATAATGTACTCTTAATGAGCATGATACCTATTGTGTTGAGCATTAGTTACATAAGTATTGATATAACATTTTAAAATGGGCATAACACTATTCCTGAATGAGTATACATATATTATAAAATGAGCATTGAAATATTCAAAAGCTCATTTAAATTTTCTAGTATGCTCATTTAAATATATTTAATGAGTATCAGACCTATACAAATGAGCATATATAACTTACAAGATGAGCATTGATATGAAAATTGTAAGTTTTGTTCGTTGAGCATCAATACATTTTCAGTGAGCATCAAATCTCCATTATTGGGTATTACAATTTGCGATTGAGTATCATGATTTGTGATCTCGTGTCTATAATCAACTCCTATATAAATTTAATGTTATAGGGACTTTTGAAATATGCATTGCTAAAAGCATTTTAAAAATCAGCATAACGGAGTTACTAAATGAATATACATAATTTACAAAATGAGTATCCAAAAATTCAAAAACTCATTTGTTTATGTTCATTTTTAGGTGTTTTACTCATTTGAGTTTAAGGTATAATAACTCATTTCTAATGTGAAATGCAATCAAGCCTATTGCAATTAAGCCAACAAACAAAGAAACGAAAAAAACAAAAAAGGAAAAAGACAAAACAAAAGAAAATCAAAGCACTAATAAATCCACTAGCTATAAAAGTAACGAACAAAATAAAAGAAGACAAAACATAAAAAGTAAAACGATTTAGCAGGAAACGAAAGTGGATGATATGGCGGCGGAAGAAAAGTACGGAGTAAAGAATAGCGACTGGATTGAGGATGAAGGCGGACGAAGATATAACAACTGGGATGATTAGGCGAGAAAGACGACTTAATTACAAAAATACCCGATTGTATGGTGAGAACCATACAACCGGGTGTATGGTATAATTTACCCCGTTATAATAACCGTTTTCAAACTTGGATTTAAAAGTACTTGAAATTAAGTTGAAGTTTAGATTTGCAAATACTTTTAAATTTATTTTTTTACAAAAACTTAAAAAAGTTGAAAAGAAGTGTTTGCAAAACCTCTCTAATCCTTTTTCATACAAAAAAATGCTTTTTTCAAGGACTTGCCCACACTACTCAACCGCAACAGTAGATACACTCTTGAGAAAGGGCGTGAAAAGACGGTGGGCGTGAAGTGTGTGACGCCTCGCAAATATGTGCAGTCTATTCTTTCCGTTTAACGGCCGGAGGAACTCACTCAGCCGTCACTAGCTCGGCGGAGCAACACCTTCCCTGCACCCTGCTTGCCTAGGGTCCAGAACTAACTTCCCGCAATTAGAACATTCTCACCTCTCCAAAGCCCAAGCCTTTTTCATCAATTTATCTGCTTTAACTAAAATCTTGCCTTAAACCTCCTTGTTTCCAGTCACTGTAAATTTCACAGGTCCAGAACTCCGGTTTCAAACCGGAAACCCTCGTCGGTAATCTGAACTGTATTTCCGGATTTCTGCACCTTTGACGAACATAGGGTCTATTCACCATGAGTCCCATCCAAAACTTCGAACAGCACTCTCGCAATCTCATCGAACCAGACCTACGTAAGTTCATATACCTAAATTGCTTCCATTTAGGTGTAGTTTTTGTTTTGCACACATGCGTTTTGTGTGCCTTTCAGCGTCTGATATTACTTGCTTATTGTTCACATGGTTCTCTGGAACAGCAATTCAGACCAGGCTGCAAATGGTATCTGAGGTGCGGGACAGTTTAGAAATAACGCATACAGGGGAGTATCTGAACTTTCTCAAATGCTACTTTCGTCCATTTTCTGTGATTATGTATCACATGACTAAGCCACAAATAATGGATAATCCCGAGCATAAGCTGAGGAACATTGTGGTTGAGATACTCAATCGTCTGCCTCACAGTGAGGTGCTCAGGCCATTTGTTCAGGAACTGCTAAAGGTGGCAATGCATGTTCTTACGACAGATAATGAGGAGAATGGTCTAATATGCATCCGAATAATCTTTGACTTGCTTCGGAACTTTAGGCCTACTCTAGAGACAGAAGTTCAGCCCTTTTTGGATTTTGTATGTAAAATCTACCAGAACTTTAGGGCTACAGTTAGTTATTTCTTTGAGAGTGGAGCATTGGCAGCCCCTCCACCACTGCCACCATCCAGTTCAGCATCTACATTGAGTGACGGGGATGCAAAACCAATGGAGATATCCGATCAAGTAGGTCCCATGAGTGGTAACATTGGCACCGGGCAGCTTAATCCCAGTGTTCGGTCATTTAAGATTGTCACAGAGAGTCCATTGGTGGTAATGTTTATTTTTCAGCTGTATAGCAGACTGATACAGACAAATATTCCTCATTTGTTGCCATTGATGGTTTCTGCTATATCAGTCCCTGGTCCTGAGAAAGTTCCACCTCACTTGAAAAACCACTTTATTGAACTGAAGGGTGCACAAGTTAAGGTATGTTGTAGATTCTCAAGATCCCACTTTTGTTGGTAATTTTATTTGATTGTCAGGTTGGTTTTGTTGTTTTTATTATTGTTTGGGACCTTCTGATGGCTACAAAGATACAATGGGTGTGATTTAGGTGAATAGTTGACACTGCCCATTGACCCTGAAACTGGGAAACCTGATCATTTCATCTGATTAGTTAGTTTGTTAATACATAACCGATCGCTAGCTGAGGATAGGTAAATGTTAATTGTACAATAACAAAGCGTGCTTCTTTCAAGCTGAGGGGGAACATAACAAGCATGGGGTATGATATCGTGGTCTGAAAAGAATAGTTATGATTTCTAGAAGTACCAGAATAGGTTGGAGCTGATTCTACAACTTGGATAGCAAATATTATTACCAACATTAACTGAAGCGAGATGTATGACACTGAGGATATGCAATTTTAATTGGTCGTGTCCATTATGAAGAAATGCCTAAGTTTTTTCTATAGTGTTTTGCCAATTATTTCACTCTCTTCATGCAATTGTAAACTCATGGAATTTATCTTTGTAAAATCGTAATATGCAGACTGTTTCTTTCTTGACTTACTTGTTGAAGAGTTGTGCTGATTATATTAAGCCTCATGAAGAAAATATATGTAAGAGCATTGTGAATTTGCTCGTCACATGCTCCGATTCAGTTTCTATTCGCAAGGTAAATGCTGCTCGATACTACTCGTCTCCTTGATGAAATGAATGTTCCGTCATCTATGTAATTTTTTATAGATTAAATGCTGAATGGGTTGCAGGAATTATTGGTGGCCTTGAAACATGTTCTTAACACGGATTCCAAGAGGGGACTATTTCCTCTGATTGACACACTTCTGGAAGAGAGGTAAGACATGGGATGTATCAACTACCATTCCTCATGGGCGCTGTATTAACATCAAATTATAATACATTAATACTCGAGACATTTTGGATCCAGGACGGTGTTCTTAGATTCAGTTCACTTCACATATATATATTATTAGAACGTTTGTTATAATGTTAAAACTCAATCTTTGAAATGAATCCAAACCAGGGTGCTTCTTGGGAATGGACGGGCATGCTTTGAGTCATTGAGGCCTCTGGCCTATAGTCTACTGGCAGAAATTGTTCACCATGTCAGGGCAGATCTTTCTCTCTCCCAGGTATTGCAGTCAATAATTATGAAGGTAGTAGGTACTGCTCCCCAGAGTTTTGAGAGAGAATAGTGGAGGGAAAATGCATGTTATGTGTTCTGAAACTAGAGAATGTCATTCAACTATACAAGTAGCATATTCAGTTCAATTATGTCGTATGTTGTAACATATGTTGCCTTGACATATTTATATTTATTGGAGTTCAAATTCAGATTCATTGAACTTCTATTTTTTCCCCATTTTGTCTGGGTGCAGTTGTCTCGGATTATTTACCTATTTTCAAGCAACATGCATGATGCATCATTGGCATTGGGCATCCATACTACTTGTGCTCGCCTAATGTTAAATTTGGTACTTAACCTACACTCTTTTCTCAAAAGCCTTGGGAATTCTGCTTCCTCCATTTGTCCTACTTTAACTATTAACTTGAAGTATATGAAGTTAGTGGCATGTGGATGCCCTTTCAAGTTTGAATACCCCATTTATCATATCATGCTATTGCAGGTGGAGCCAATTTTTGAGAAAGGTCTTGACCAGTCAACCATGGATGAAGCTCGTGTTTTGTTGGTCAGGGACTTTTAGTGTATTGTTTTATTCTTGAGTCATCATTCTGTTTTCTGCTCATAGTATTCACTCTATTTTGTGCCCACTGTTCTCTATAGGGACGCATATTGGATGCTTTTGTTGGAAAGTTCAACACATTCAAGAGAACTATTCCTCAGGTTTTTCATATGTCACATGTTGATGTGTATTTATTCATATTTTAGTTGGTTATGTATATCACTTAATTTATTATTCTTCATGAATTCTCATTCTGCTAGCTTATCTACACGCCTATTGGAGTATTAGTTAATAGTTTAGATTTTCCGGATTCTGTTATTCTGTGTTTGTTTAACTTGCTTATAAGTGAACAGAAGTGGTGTGATATTGAAAGCTAAAACCCTATGGCTCATTGTATATAATATACACACTGAATACTCTTTATTGATTCGTTTTTCAAGCACTTGCTTGAAGACCAATGTTGATATATAATTACTGGGTAGAGCTGATCATCCCTTTTGCTGCCAAGGACATTTACTGTCAGTATACTTCAATTGTTGCATTCAAGTACACTGTGCACATTGGAATAATTGTTTCAATGAATGGTTGCAGTTAACTGCACGTGTACCTCATTAATCTGTTAAAACTAGTCATTTGGCCCTTTGCTTTATTTATTATCAGTTACTTGAAGAAGGAGAGGATGGAAAAAGTCATTCAACTTTGAGGTCAAAACTTGAGCTTCCAGTGCAGGTAATTGGATCATCTTTCATTGCTTTTACATGTGGCAGCATGTTTTTGGCTTCAGTGATATTCATTATAGCTCTTTACATTACTTGTTTTCAATTCTTATACTGTCTCATTACCCTGGACAAATGATTTTTTTGGGTAAAAAACCCCCCTTTGTCCCAAAAGAGGTTCATGTTTTTGTGCCCATCCCGAAAAAAACTTCATGTTTCATTTTAATGAAATAATGGTGTGTTGTTAATTGCTTCTCTCCTCTCGAAATAAATTCCAATCCTCTAATTCCTCTTCTAAAGAAACTTGCCAAGTCAAACTAGTATCCACATTTCGGGCCGGAGTGACTATCTTGTTAATGCACACAGTGCAATTTCTAGTCCGGGGATGAATAAATATCGGCGGAAGGGAAGAACTCAGCCATTTTGTTTTCAAAATTAATCCACCTCATGCCCTAGGCAGTGAAGCTTTCGGAGGTTCCACCTTGTGTAGTAACGAATTTATTTCCAGACAAATTTATAATTCCAACATAGTAGGCAACATGATCCCAAAGCTAAAGGAAAGAAAACTCTAATGTTGTTACTACTGGTATAATAAAAGACTAGTCATACTAAGAATAGGAAAGATTAATAATAGGAACAATTGTACAACTTAATTAAATAAACTTGATCAGCATCCAAATAGCCATTTTGGTCAGCCCCTTCTAGGATCTTTCTATGATGGTAAACCCGGCCGGTGAATGAGTCCATACTCCATAGCATATCTGTAATCAAGTCCATACTCAAGTCATATACTCCATAGCATATTTGTGTGTGCGTGTATATCAAATATTGCTTTCTAAGGCAGTTATAGCTCTACTGTTGAACTTAGTGGGGTGGTTGCGAGTTATGCCAGATCCTGGATGCAAATGCTTATGTTAAACATATTCTGAGTCACATAGTGAATATGATATGTGGAGTGTAAGTATTTCTATTTAAAAAGACATAAGATAGTTTGACCCAAAGCATTCATCACCATTTTTGTGTTGGAATTAGGTATTGAAATGCTTCCAATTTATGATATTGCATGTTTTCTTTTTGAGTATGTTGTGTGGAGTGTAAACTGAGACAAGTAATAAATCATAAACTGTCATGATACCTCATTCTCTCTTATTTCCCTATTTGTTAGATTGTCATGCTTTATATTCCATGCTTTACTTTTACTGTAGGCAGTACTTAATTTGCAACTTCCCGTGGAACATTCCAAGGAAGTCAGTGATTGCAAACATCTAATCAAAACCTTGGTTATGGGTATATCCTGCTTCCCTTCTATTTCATTTTTTTCTTCATATTTTTAAATATAACTACCAGAGTTTCTTCTGCGAGAGGCAGTAAGTATACAACATAGCTTGCATGTGTTTTCAGGGATGAAGACGATAATTTGGAGTATTACTCATGCACATTTGCCCCGCTCCCAGGTTTACTGATTCTTTATTCTAATAGAACCTCCATTTGTAGAGTCAATTTCTCATATGTTGCTCCATTGGTCTAGGTTTCCCCTTCAACACATGGGGCTCCTCCTGTGCTTGCTTCATCATCTTCCAGTTCATCAATACCCCAACCGTTCAAAGGAATGAGAGAGGATGAGGTATTATAACACAAATTACTAGTGTTATTTTGTTTTTGACATCTATAAATATTGCCCCTTGCTTGTTAGCTTGTGCATGAGAACTATATAATGCTTTTTTGATAGGTTTGGAAAGCCTCCGGTGTTCTTAAAAGTGGTGTGCATTGCTTGGCATTATTCAAGGAGAAGGATGAAGAGAGAGAAATGATCCAGCTTTTTTCCCAGATTTTGGCCATTATGGAGCCACGAGATCTAATGGACATGTTTTCCTTGTGCATGCCAGAACTCTTTGAGTGCATGATTTCAAACACTCAACTAGTTCATATCTTTTCAACGCTTCTGCAAGCCCCTAAAGTGTTCAAGCCATTTGCTGATGTTCTGGTTAATTTTCTTGTAAGCAGCAAACTAGATGTCTTGAAGCATCCAGATTCACCTTCCGCGAAACTTGTGTTGCATCTTTTCAGATTTTTATTTGGTGCCGTGGCAAAGGCTCCTTCTGACTGTGAGCGTATTCTACAACATCATATACCTGTTATAATGGAAACTTGTATGAAAAATGCAACTGAGGTTGAGAAACCAGTTGGCTATCTGCAGCTTCTTCGTACAATGTTTCGTGCTCTTGCTGGTGGAAAATTTGAGGGATTATTACGAGAATTGATTGCTATGTTGCAACCCTGCTTGGCTATGTTGTTATCCATGCTTGAGGGACCTAGTGGTGAAGACATGCGGGAGCTTCTGTTAGAGCTTTGCTTAACACTGCCTGCACGCTTAAGTTCATTGCTACCACACCTTTCTCGTCTAATGAAACCTCTTGTCATGTGTCTCAAAGGAAATGATGAACTAGTGAGTCTTGGTTTAAGAACACTTGAGTTTTGGATTGATAGCCTAAATCCTGATTTTTTGGAACCGAGTATGGCAAATGTTATGTCTGAGGTGATTTTAGCATTATGGTCTCAGTTGAGACCCGCACCTTATCCTTGGGGTGGGAAATCATTGCAGCTCCTTGGAAAGCTAGGTGGCCGTAATAGACGTTTTCTCAAAGAGCCTCTTGCTCTTGAATGCAAGGAAAATCCAGAGCATGGGCTTCGCGTGATTCTTACATTTGAGCCTTCAACCCCATTTCTAGTACCACTTGATCGCTGTATAAACCTTGCTGTAGCAGCTCTGATGCATCATAAAAATGTTGGCTTGGATGCTTTCTACCGAAAACAAGCACTAAAATTCTTACGTGCATGCCTTTCATCTCAACTTAATTTGCCAGGTATTGCTAACGATGAGGGTTCAACTTCCAGGCTGCTGTCAGCTGTGTTAGTTTCCACAGTTGACCCATCTTGGAGAAGATCCGAGATGTGTGATGTAAAGGTTAGCTCATTAATGATGTGTGTGTGTGTCTTTGTGGGTCTCTTAATATAAATATCCTGGAATTTGCTACAACTTTTAAGCTTTAATACTTATAGAGTTTTTTCCCCTATTTTCCTCTAAATCTGAAATCTGTCTTCTAGGCGGACTTGGGTGTCAAGACAAAGACACAGCTTCTTGCTGAGAAATCTGTTTTCAAGATTCTTTTGACAACCATAATAGCTGCAAGTGCCGATCCTGATTTATACGATCCCAAGGATGAATATGTTGTCGGTGTTTGTCGCCATTTTGCAATATTGTTCCACATAGAGAGTTTTGCTGCCTACGGTTCAGTTTCAGCTGCTCCACTTAGTATGTCTGTACTTTCATCCACCCCCAGCACCATTGCCAAGTTTAGATATGGCCTTTCTTCCAATCTGAAAGAGTTGGACCCCCTGATCTTTCTTGATGCTTTATTGGAGGTTCTAGCAGACGAAAATAGACAGCATACTACGGCTGCATTGAATGCACTGAATGTTTTTGCAGAAACACTTCTATTCCTTGCTCGGTCAAAATATGCTGACACACACATGCCAACAGGTGGTCCAAGTACTCCTATGGTTGTCTCTAGCCCATCAATGAGTCCTGTATACTCACCACCTCCTAGTGTTCGTGTGCCTGTATTTGAGCAGCTTTTACCCCGATTGCTGCATTGTTGCTATGGTTACACTTGGCAAGCACAAATGGGAGGAGTCATGGGGCTTGGTGCTTTGGTTGGGAAGGTCACTGTTGAAACACTGTGCCTTTTCCAAGTTAGAATTGTTAGAGGACTGGTTTACGTTCTAAAGAGGATTCCTAGTCATGCTGCTAAAGAGCAAGAAGAGACAAGCCAAGTGCTTACACATGTTCTCCGCATGGTGAATAATGTTGATGAAGCCAACAATGAAGCACATAGGCAGAGTTTTCAAGGCGTGGTTGAATACTTGGCATCAGAGTTGTTCAACCCCAACGTGTCTATCAACGTGAGGAAGATTGTACAGTCTTGTTTGGGACTTTTGGCTAGTAGGACTGGTAGTGAGGTTTCAGAATTGCTTGAACCAATGTACCAACCTTTGCTTCAGCCTCTTATAATGCGCCCGCTGCGATCAAAGACTGTTGAACAACAGGTCAATACATTTATAACTTCAATTATTTGGGTTGACCAACTGCATTTTAATGTTTTTTCTATATTAGGTTGGGACGGTCACTGCTCTTAACTTCTGCCTCGCTTTAAGACCCCCTCTTCTAAAGCTGACTCAGGAGCTAGTCAATTTCTTGCAAGAAGCTCTTCAAATAGCAGAGGCTGATGAAACTGTGTGGGCAATGAAATATATGAACCCTAAGGTGGCCACCTTACTAAACAAACTTCGCACAGCATGCATTGAATTACTATGCACTGCCATGGCATGGGCAGATTTCAAAACTCAAAATCATGCTGAATTACGTTCCAAAATAATATCGATGTTTTTCAAGTCTCTTACAAGCAAAAACTCAGAAATTGTAGCTGTTGCAAAGGAAGGCTTACGACAGGTCGGTTTAAACCTATTAACACATAAGTTTTTACTTAGTATTTTGTTAATAGTATTATCATTCTCTTGAGTGGTACAGTTTCTTTCCTTCTGCCATTTTCAGTCCGGAAACTGTCTCTCCCTGGGGTAAGACTGCGTACATTTGACCCCCCTTACCCCACCGTAGGTGGGAGCCTTTGCGGCATTGGGGTAATGTTGTTGTTGTTGTTGTTTGTTGGTTGTAAATGTGCCTACTTTATCTAAAATTGTTAGAAATCATGATAAGGACTAGCAGGCGGCAAAGAGCCACCATTATTGTGGAAGCAATAATGGAAGCAAAAGAGTTCACATGGAAACAACATGAATAACTAATAAGAGAAAATTTATATTGATTATAACTCAAATCTCTTTCATTATTGTATTAAGGCTCTAAAGTAATGTAAGCATAGGTTTATTTAATAAAAAATAGTGAGTGTAACAAGGCACAATGATTAATAAACTAGGAATGCTCATCTCTAACAATTGATAAGCTAGGCACAAAAACATGTTTATTAGAGGAAAGTTCAATCTTACACAAAAATGAAGAAGAAAATCCTAAGGATACTACGAAGCGCAGAGGCGAGAGTTTCCGGTTGTCCATAGAAGCAGTCTGATGTGAGCAGATGTTAGCACCTTCTGGAATCTTCTGCAACCTGAGTCGCTGCTGTGAAGCTCCCGGTCCATCTGTGCACCTTGTGCCAAGATGTGCGTCAGACATGATATTTAAAACTATAGCCTAGACGACTCCATGACAACCGTGAATATGCCCCTACGTTTTTTAATATTTACGTGTATTGTCAATTTGTCATATGGTGTGCTTCCCTGTTGTGTCGGTGTTCATGCTACATAGCTGGTCACTGGTGCAAACTGCAGTTTTATTTTTCTAAAAAAAAGCGATTTGATAATCTTATTTGAGACTATTGGTTGTTGTAGCTGGAATCTCACTGACGTAACTACCACCTTCTGTTTATATGGTGTCACACTTGTTTTTTATGTTATAATTGGAACATATATAAGGTCCTAATCATAATTGTATATGTTAGCTAGCTTACGTTGCTGTAACGCAGAACCTGTTGTGGTTCTGTGAAAGAATGTTTTGGTTCTTTTGGCGTGTGCTCCGTACCCTCCCCATCCCCCACTCCTCATTACTTCGTACTTTTATCATAGAGTGTGCAGTTGTTTTATAAGTCATTTATGACTTCGTATCTTAACTCTCTGATTCTCTTTCTAGGTTATACTACAACAAAGGATGCCCAAGGAGCTATTGCAGAGTAGTCTTCGACCAATATTAGTTAACTTAGCACATACAAAGAATCTTAGCATGCCACTTTTGCAAGGTCTAGCTCGCCTCCTAGAGCTCCTCTCCAATTGGTTTAATGTAACCTTAGGAGGAAAGCTGTTAGAGCACCTGCGGAAATGGTTAGAACCTGAAAAACTTGCACAGTGCCAAAAATCATGGAAGGCAGGTGAAGAGCCCAAAATAGCTTCTGGTAAGTCATTGAGTTTTATTTGGACTTTAATGGTTTATGTTTTCTACATTTTCATTGTTGGCATATCTAATTTTCATTATCTTTGCAGCTATTATTGAGCTTTTCCATCTGCTTCCCTCAGCAGCTGGGAAGTTTCTTGATGAGCTTGTGACACTGACAATAGATTTGGAAGCTGCACTTCCACCTGGGCAGTTTTATAGTGAGATTAACAGTCCGTATCGGCTCCCACTAACCAAATTTTTGAATAGATATCCTACAGCTTCTGTTGAATACTTTCTTGCTCGACTATGTCTGCCAAAGTACTTCAGACGGTAAGTTTAATTTTTATTTATCTTTCATTTTCCTTTGTCACGAATAACCATGGGTTTTTTGTTGATTTCTTTCACAAGTTTATGATGTATTTACAACAATGTAGGTTTATGTACATAATAAGGTCAGATGCTGGCCAGCCGTTGCGAGAAGAACTAGCAAAGTCACCTGAAAAGATAATTGCAAGTGCCTTTGCAGAATTTGCTCCAAAAACTGATGCTGGAACTGTACAAGAACCTGCTAATAGACAAAACACTTTGGTGGGCAATGAAGCTGTTTCAACTCATCAAATGGAGACTTCTATTCCTGCAACTTCAACTTCAGGTGGCATGCAAGATGCTTACTTCCAAGGTCTTGCTTTGGTCAAGACTTTGGTCAAATTGATGCCTACATGGTTGCAGAACAACCGCATTGTTTTTGATACGCTGGTTTTAATGTGGAAATCACCTGCAAGGATTTCACGGCTACAAAATGAACAAGAGCTAAACTTGGTGCAAGTTAGTGATATTACAACAACCTATGGGATTGGATTAATTTTGATCATTTGGTGTGCTATTTTTTAATTATTTTATTGGGTTTCCTCTCATTTTTAGAATCCATATTGTTCATCATCTTCCTTGATGGAGTTGATGCAAACCATGCATTTCTGGCTGGTCTTGGAGTTTTTTATTATAGTTTAGTTGATTTAAGACATATTCTTCTCTTTAAGACATATTGGTTCTGTGGCTCTCTTCCTCTAGTATATGTATGAATTATGATAATTAGATATTTAGTACATAATACACCGTAAGATAAGCTTTTTCTGGAACGCCTTTTCCCTTCTCTTTTTTAATTCCTATGCTTGTACCATTCACTTTTCTCTTGCACTCCTCTTTTTCGTTCACATACCTTGTAAGAATTTTTTGTTCATGAATTTGTAGACCTTTCCATGCATGCATAAGCTTATGCATGAATTTGCAATGTATATTTGTTTCCAAAGAATGTTGGGTCATGTTCTAAAAATCCGTTTTTCCATCTAAACGATTACAGCTGTGATCGTACGTTCCCAGAGGTTTAATGCTAGCCTGTATCTTCTTGAAGAAATGGATAACTTCTAAAGTGTTCCTTTCTTAATTAGAATCTCTGCTGTGATCTTATCAAAATCAATATATTCTCGGATTGTGATAATATGGTAAAAATTGCAGGTCAAGGAGAGCAAATGGCTTGTCAAATGCTTCCTGAATTACTTGCAACATGAAAAGGCTGAAATGAATGTTCTGTTTGATATCCTCTCTATCTTCTTGTTTCGTACTCGCATAGACTTTACTTTCCTTAAGGAATTCTACATTATAGTGGTATGCTGATAAACTACTGAGTTTTATTATTTATAAAGTCGAGGTTCTTATGTTTTTGTTATTATGCACAACGATTGGTTTCTCATTACTTTTGCTTACTGAAGGTTGCTGAGAGCTATCCACCCGACATGAAGAAAACTTTGCTCCTCCACTTCCTGAACCTTTTCCAGTCAAAGCAACTCGGTCATGATCATTTGGTTGTCATTATACAAATGCTTGTTCTTCCAATGCTTGCTCATGCCTTTCAGAATGGTCAAACATGGGAAGTTGTTGATTCTGCTATAGTAAAGACTATTGTTGACAAGCTTCTAGATCCTCCCGAAGAGGTAGTCAGAACTTGTTTTTACGCAAATATTCAGTCCTGAAATTTCTAGTTGCACATTCACGTCTGCTGGGTTTTGTAGGTGTCTGCTGATTATGATGAGCCATTGAGGATAGAGCTTCTACAACTTGCGACTTTGCTTCTCAAGCATCTTCAGACTGATCTTGTTCATCATCGAAAGGAGCTTATTAAATTTGGTTGGAATCATCTTAAACGTGAAGATAGTGCTAGTAAGCAGTGGGCATTTGTAAATGTTTGTCACTTCTTGGAGGCTTATCAAGCCCCAGAGAAGATTATTCTTCAGGTACCTATTGTTGGGGAGACGTGGTGGTATTTCACCTTCTAAGGAATCTTTTTGTGTGGTTATTTTCCTCATATTCTTATACGGTTATATGATGTTCCACACGTTAAAGGTGTGTGTAAAGTTACATAGTCTATTCTAGTATTCTACTTGTCTACTTGATTTAGCTTAGTTGAATCTGTAATTATTCATTTTCTAACCGACCCCTGCATGACCATGTATTTAATTTACCATCTGCATTGTGGTTTGTGAAGATACATTTCTGCTTCTACAGATAAATAAGCGGTTAAATGTTTTTACAATACTATTTGCACAAGGACCCAATTTATGTGCTGTATATGAATATTGGGCATTTGTAATGTTTAATACTCCCTCCGTATTTTAAAGTTTGCTACACTTTCCCTTTTTGGATGTATTTAAAAGTTTGCTACACTTTCCCTTTTTGGTAAGTTTTTTCCTTTAAAAATACTCAATTATCCTTACCTTTTCTACTTTTTATCTTCTCTTTCATACTTTTCCATCTTCGCTCCTACTTTTTCTACACTATTCATTACCCCTATTATTTCACCCTTAAATGTTGTGCCCAAACCTAATGTAGAGAACTTTGAAATACGGAGAGAGTAAACTATTATTACTTATATTTCTTTTCATCTCATACTGGTCTTTATGGATCAACTATATTTGGCTGATTTTCTGTTCTTGTGCTTGCTGTAGTTTGTTGAGTATTTAGTTATGAATATATAGGATGAGGTTAATGAATGACCTTTAAGTTAAGATAGGCTAGCACTGCTGTATCCTAGTTTTATCCATCATTCTGAAGAATAATACAACTTCATTATTATATGTTAAATTTACTGTTATGGTTCATTTCGGGATACCAAATCTTATATGACGAATTCAGGAATTATATATCTTCATTGGTGATGCAAAGCCCTATTTATACTAATAACCTTTTTGATGAGCTAGACAGCTAGTAATAGAGTCCCACACTAATAAAACAATTGCTAATAGTAACTTAACAAAACTAGAATATTAATAGTATGATTAGGAAATTATTACAAATACTACTAATATGAAACTAATACTTTTATGACTAAGAGCATATCCAATGGGAGGGTGGATTGCAGTAAGGTCCATCCTACGTGGCATATGAGAGAGATATACATAGAATGATTATTTTAATTTAATATTGAGAAAGTGGTGTGTAGGCAAAAATGAAATAGATGAGAGAGATAGAGATAAATTGCAGGTCTATGACAAGGTCCATGTATGGACCTTGCACGGGATTTGAGGAGGAAATGTAGATGAAAAGTGGGTTAAGAGAGATAAAAAATTAAAATTAAAATAAATTAGGCTATATGTAGGTCCTATACATAAAAATTGTGAGATAAAAAATGAGACCCATATGTAAGGGTGTGTAATTTCCTTCATTTGCAATGGAGCCAAAGACTCACTATTTTTTGGCTTGGGAATATGACGGAATAAAGCAAAATGGTTCACTAAACTGTCTGCGCTTCTTTGTTGTCAAGCAGAAGTCAGTCCATGCAACTTTCAACGCGATTTTCAATATGGGTCATCCAGAAACAGTCTCTTTGTGCTTTAGTACAGGGGTAAGACTGCGTACATCCGACTCCCCCTTACCCCACCGCAGGTGGGAGCCTTTGCGGCACTGGGGTAATGATGATGATGATGATATGTAAGGGTGTGTAAGAGAGCACACGTTCAGAACATGACACTTTCCCTCAAGCTTAAAGGGTGATAGCCGTGGTACATACACTTTCGAGGATCAAACGGCATCTCAAAAAACAATCATCATTTTTGCGGCAAACCGACACCTGCAACTTATTGAACTATGTGCATCACTAGTAGGACACTCCATAATACATTAGGAATGCCAACATATGGAACTCACGTAAGGCTAACAGAATGTATTGAGTGTTATAATGGCAGTGCACGACTGCATCATCTTAGATGTTTCTGGACAATTTGAGTCAAATTGTGGTAAGTCAAGTAAACTATTATGGCATGGTATCAGCACATGGTAAGCCCTTGTTGGGGTTGGATGGACACAGTGTTAATAGGATGACTGTAAGTGCGTGTGGGGGTGCTGGCATGGAGCACATATGTGCAGCCAGTGGAGTTGCTGGTGGCAGCAGTTGTTTTGCTAAAATTGGTGCTAAATATTATGACTATGGGGAGGGGGGGGGATACGGAGTGTACATACATGGACCTTGTCATTGACAAAGAACTCAAGATTATATGGATTGGAAGTTCTTGATTGTATTCATTTTAATAGATAACCTATTGTATGATCTGAGTATATACTGTCAAAATCAAATACTACAACTAAGTCCTAGAATAATCCAATAATAAAAGCCTAACACTAGTACAAGAACTAAAAAGAATTAAGCTATCGTATAAAAGAAGACGTCTTGAGTGTATACTTGGAGCATGTTTGCTCCACATAATCAAATAAAGGATATTTGAATGCCGACATATATTCTAGTATATTAATTTGCTATTTTGGAGATTCATTCTTTGTGAAATGATATTAACAAATGTAATCACAGGTTTTTGTTGCACTCCTTAGAACATGCCAGCCAGAGAACAAACTATTGGTCAAACAGGCACTTGATATACTTATGCCTGCACTTCCGCGAAGGTTGCCTCTTGGTGAATCCCGGATGCCTATCTGGATACGTTACACAAAAAAGATCCTTGTCGAGGAAGGTCATTCTATTCCTAACCTGATACACATATTCCAGCTTATTGTTCGCCATTCAGATCTTTTCTACAGCTGCAGAGCTCAATTTGTTCCTCAGATGGTCAACTCCTTAAGCCGCCTTGGATTGCCATTTACCACGACGGCTGAAAACAGACGACTTGCTATTGAACTTGCTGGGTTGGTAGTGAATTGGGAAAGGCATAGGCAAAGTGAAATGAAAGTAGTGCTTAATCATGATTCTGGTCTGGCTTCTGATGGAATGAATCATGTTTCCGTGGATTCCAAGCATCCTGCAGATGGATCATCATTTTCAGAAGATCCTAATAAGCGAGTAAAGGTTGAGCCTGGTCTGCAGTCCCTATGTGTCATGTCACCAGGTGGTGCCTCATCAATTCCTAACATTGAAACACCAGGATCAGCTGGGCAACCTGATGAAGAGTTTAAACCAAATGCAGCAATGGAGGAAATGATAATAAATTTCCTTATACGTGTAATGCCATTTTTTTAAATCTTGATTCGGGTTTTGTGATGATCTGTTTGTTATTTTAACCTTTATAGATTATTATCAGCATTTATTCAATTCCTTAATCTTTTCTACAATCAGACACTAAGAGGCACTTTTAACTTCCATGTGATACTGTTTATAGGTAGCCTTGGTGATAGAACCAAAGGATAAAGAGGCTAGTGTGATGTACAAACAGGCTTTGGATCTCCTATCACAAGCTTTGGAAGTATGGCCCAATGCCAATGTAAAATTCAATTACCTAGACAAGCTTCTTAGAAGTATTCCTCCTGCTCAGTCAAAGGATCCATCAACAGCTCTTTCCCAAGGGCTTGATGTGATGAACAAAGTTTTGGAGAAACAACCTCATCTCTTTGTCCGAAATAATATCAACAACATCTCACAAGTATGTATTTCTGAACACCAGTTTTCTCTACTTCTCTACATGTGGTTGTCAACCTAAGCATTATTTTCTGTCTTTCCCCCAGATTTTAGAACCATGCTTCAAGTTTAAATTGCTAGATGCTGGAAAGTCGTTATGTTCCTTGTTGAAGATGGTGTCTCTTGCTTTTCCTCCAAACGCATCTAATACTCCACAAGAAGTGCGGATGCTATATCAAAAAATGGAGGAGCTCATACAGAAGCACCTTGCAGTGGTTGCAGTGCCTCAGGCATCAGGAGAAGACAATTCAGGAAGCATGATTAGCTTTGTGCTTTATGTAATCAAAACACTGGTGGAAGTGCACAAAAATTTCATTGATCCAACTACTCTGGTACATGTTCTACAACGTTTGGCTCGAGATATGGGTTCTTCTATTGGTTCTCACGTGAGACAGGTCAATTGTGTTACTTTAAGTTATAAGTTTTTCATATTTTCTCTGAATATTCTTTCTGTTCCAAACAAAACATATTGTTGCCTGTCTTTCTGTGTTCAGCTTCATTTACAGTGTTTCTTCATTTCCAGTCCATTATTTTTGTTCCTCTCCAAGTTCTTTGCTAATGAACATAGTTTTTTTGCTTCAATTTTCCTGTTTTTTTAACTGTTCTTGCTGTACTTTTCTGATTTCACTACTACCCTGCTTAATCTAAAAGATCAAGTTATATGTACATTGTAAACATACGCCTCCTCAGTTTTTTTATAACCTTTGATTACAGGGTCAGAGATCAGATCCAGATTCTGCAGTCACTTCGTCCCGTCAAGGAGCTGATGTTGGAGTAGTAATTGCAAATCTGAAATCTGTTTTGAGTTTGATTAGTGAAAGGGTCATGTCAGTTCCAGAGTGCAAACGATCTGTAACTCAAACATTGACTTCCTTGCTCTCAGAAAAGGGAACTGACCCCTCTGTCTTGCTCTGCATACTTGATGTAGTAAAAGGATGGATTGAAGATGATTTTGGTAGATCTGGTACTGCTGCATCTAATACTTGTCTGACTCAGAAGGATGTGGTTTCTTTCATTCAAAAGCTTTCTCAAGTCGATAAGCAGAACTTCTCCAGTGCTGTGGATGAGTGGGATCAGAAATATCTCACACTTCTTTATGGACTTTGTGCTGACTCAAACAAGTTAGTGGTGCACTGGTACTTTTTATTTTTCCGTACTTCAGACTGCAGTAATTAACTTAATATAAGTTTTCATATGATTTAAATGCAGGTATCCTCTCTCTTTGCGTCAAGAAGTTTTCCAAAAAGTAGAGAGACAATTTTTGCTTGGTTTACGGGCAAAGGATCCTGAAATGCGGATGAGGTTCTTCTCTCTTTATCACGAATCTCTGGGAAAGACCCTCTTCTTTAGATTGCAGTATATTATCCAATTGCAGGACTGGGAGGCATTGAATGATGTGTTTTGGCTTAAGCAAGGTCTTGATCTTCTCCTGGCCATTTTAGTTGAAGATAAGCCCATTACACTGGCTCCAAATTCTGCGAAGGTTCCTTCACTGATGTTATCTGCTTCAGTTGCTGATAGTACTGCTGCACAACCAATGACCTTGGACGTCACAGAAGGTTCTGAAGAGGCTCCCTTGACTTTTGATGGTCTCGTCTCAAAGCATGCACAATTTTTGAATGAAATGAGCAAGCTTAAGGTAGATGGAACTTTCTCTTTAAATTCTTTGATGCTTTCACCCTTCACTGGGTAATGAGTAGTTATTTCTCTAATTCGCACCAACAATTACTGTTTTGCTGCACATTTTTCCTGCATAACATGATCACCTATCAGGCTATCATCTAAAAAATATTACTCCCTCCGTCCCATAAAATTGTTCCCGCATTGACTTGGATTGGAGTTTAAGAAAGTGGGAATAAAGTGGAAATATATGGTTGTGGTTGTGTAAGAAAAAGGTAAATGAACGTGAGTGAGACACACAAAACTTTCCAAAAGGGGAAATGGGAACTATTTTTTGGGACGGCCCAAAAAGGAAACCGGGAACTATTTTGCGGGACGGAGGGAGTACATGATTATTCTGTGAATAAAGTCCCCTTAAACAATACTTTCAATTTTTGCTCCTGCTCAGTTGCATGATAGGTACACAGATTTAGTAACAATAGATCGATCAATATTATTGAGCTCAAAAGGCAGAAACGATGAAGACGATACAAGACAGGGCACTTCGAGAGGCCTATACTCTCCAGAACCGAATTCCCAATTCAAAAATCTGCCTGCCTTCTTATTTCTCCCTCCCTACTATTTATACTAACTTATGGGTCAGCCCAATATTAACTAATACCTAGCCCAGGACCCTTTACTACAATATCACAATTATTTATTATACTTCTATTATTATTACTAGTATTATTATACTAATGGGTCCCTATCATATCCCCCCCCTTGAAAAACCACCTTGTCCTCAAGGTGGGTGATAGGAACCGGCCTGGACTTTCCGCTGAATCTTCATTCTTGCGCCTCTCCCCTCCCAGTACAAGACTGATTGTTGGACTGAGTTCTTCCATGCTGGAATCTTCTTCCTTACTTCCTCCAGTAATAGCCTCAATAGATTCCCTATCTTCAGAGCATCAGCACCACTCAGATGGCTTTGTTCATGTTGGCATTGAGTTTTACCCATATGCCCCATCATCCGCTGCTCAAACTTCCCATTGCTAACAACTCTTGCTTCAGGATATGACTCAAGCTCTTGGATTTCAGTTGCTACACTCCTTGGAGTTGCAGTATCTGATATGAAGTATTCCCTGGGACTGATAATAACAATAGAAACATCAATTAACTGATCAACAACAAAGGCAGAGTCCATTTCAGATTTATTAAAGGAAGCTTTCCAATAGATATCCTGTAATCCAGACTTGATAGGTGCAAACAATGACCAGAATGGTGCAGAGCCTGTTGCTGTTTCGAATATGGATGACATTCTGGCATAAGGAAAGTCTGCCAGATACTCTTTTCCTTTTGGACAGCCTGTATCTTGTATATTATCAACTGTAGCCTTGATCTCTTTGTCAGTAAATACCATCTGAAACTGATAGGCAAAGACTACACCTCCATCTGGAACAGATGTACAGACCACTGGCTTTTCCCTACCCTTTTCCTTGTCATTCCCAGTCAATCCTACTCCCAACTCCTTTCGGATATATTTCATAGAATCCACACCATCACTTTTGAAATCCTCAATCTGCTTCTTCAGCCCTTCCAGCATTCCCTTGGAAGAAGGATGGTGCACAATATCTGATTTACCCGTTTCAGACTCTTCCAGATAATTTGATGGATCAACGTTTTCTGTCCCTTTCAGAATATCATCTTTCGTCTCCAATTGTTGAATTGACGGTGCAAACGACTTCAACTCAATGTTAGTTTCCAGCTGTGCCCCCTTTGAAAATCCTTTTCCCGTTGCTCCCCGAGTTATGGCTTCGGAAATAGATGACACCTGTGAACGACTTAGGAGTCCAGGAACTGTGCCAGCTTCATGTGCTTCTGCCATTGTAGATTGCTCCTCATTTTTGTCTGACTTTGATTTCTTGATGACAGATTCAGAGGACTTCAAGTTGGTATTCTTTGTCGACTGGGAATAATCGTGTGCAGGTCGAGAATCAGCTGGCGATAGCACTTGCGAACCGAAAGATATAGTTCGTGAACTGGGAATTTCATATCTCGATCGCGTCTTCATTAAATTGGTTGCCGAAGCCTGCAAACTGACAGATGTTGTTGGCGATAATTGTCCCTGGCATTCATTGTCACTCTCGTTGAACTTAGATGCGTATTCTCTGACTCGCTTTGAACTCATCTCCTCAAGAGTTTGCCATTGACTCACATACTTATGAGAAAACGATGCAAATGGTTGCGAACTGCGAGAAGACACCTGAGAACTGGAAGAAGTAGTTTCTTGCGATTTATAAAAAACCTGTGCAGTTTTCAATGATCTGGAACTGAGGAAGTTGTTGGCGAAGACTTCTGTGAACTGATAGAAGTTCTCGTGGACGATTCCTGATTCTCGTTCTCTGTCCTTTGACTGCGTATAGGTTGGAAACGCAGCTTTATGGCTTCCTTCAGAGCCTTCCAACTCTTTTCACTTGTTTGAGTATACCACCATGGAAACCAGGCTAACGCCCTTTCCTCCATCGCGCCTTCTGCTATTTGCACTTTATTTTTTTCTGCCGTAGCCTTGAGACGGAAATATTCTTCCATCTGAACAATCCAACTGTCAGCATCATCCCCTGTAAACTTCGGTAAATCAACCTTCACCACCGTGCTAACAAGTCCTCTACTGTTATCGGGATCCTCACTGGAACGAGAAAATTCGGAATTTCTCGCGCCTCCTATATGCGAACCGCGATGTGAAGTGCAGTGCGAGCTTCGCTGAGTGAGCGATTGATGCCTCGATCGATTCTGGTTGCTGTTCATCTTCGCAAGCTTCTCTTGTATTGTCGCTAAGGTCATCGCGACTTTTTCCATCGGTGTATGGTCCCGCTCTAGGTTTTTCATTCTGTTTTCCACTTTTGGCTCTCGTCCAGACCTTCCACAACTGAATCGGAAATTCTCTGGTCTTGCGCCTACAGTTCCGATCTCCAGAAACGCTGCTCTGGTAAGATCGATAATTCGATTCACTGCCTTAGGAAGCCACTCGCTCTGATACCATTGATAGGTACACAAATTTAGTAACAATAGATCGATCAATATTATTGAGCTCAAAAGGCAGAAACGATGAAGACGATACAAGACAGGGCACTTCAAGAGGCCTCTACTCTCCAGAACCGAATTCCCAATTCAAAAATCTGCCTGCCTTCTTATTTCTCCCTCCCTACTATTTATACTAACTTATGGGTCAGCCCAATATTAACTAATACCTAGCCCAGGACCCTTTACTACAATATCACAATTATTTATTATACTTCTATTATTATTAGTATTATTATACTAATGGGTCCCTATCATTGCTCTGCTTTCAATTTTAGGTTGCTGATCTAGTTCTTCCACTGAGAGAGCTGGCACATACAGATGCAAACGTTGCATACCACCTTTGGGTTCTGGTGTTTCCCATTGTGTGGGTAACCTTGCACAAAGAAGAGCAGGTAGCTCTTGCTAAGCCAATGATAACTTTGTTGTCAAAAGATTATCACAAAAGGCAGGCTATGCAGCGACCAAATGTTGTTCAAGCTCTTTTAGAAGGACTTCAGCTAAGCCATCCTCAACCAAGAATGCCCAGTGAGCTCATCAAATATATAGGAAAGACTTATAATGCATGGCATATTGCTTTGGCATTGTTGGAAAGTCATGTGATGCTATTCATAAATGATACCAAGTGCGCTGAGTCTTTGGCTGAGCTTTACCGTTCACTCAACGAAGAAGATATGCGGTGTGGACTATGGAAAAAGCGGTCAGTTTCAGCAGAAACACAGGCTGGGCTCTCACTCATGCAGCATGGGTATTGGCAGCGTGCTCAAAGCCTTTTTCACCAAGCCATGCTCAAGGCAACTCAAGGCACTTATAACAATAATGTTCCTAAAGCAGAGATGTGTCTGTGGGAAGAGCAGTGGCTATCTTGTGCTTCCCAACTCAGTCAATGGGATGCACTGGTAGACTTTGGGAAGTCGGTTGAGAATTATGAGATATTACTCGATAGCCTGTGGAAGCAGCCTGACTGGGCGTATTTGAAAGATCACGTTATTCCAAAGGCTCAAGTTGAGGAGACCCCAAAACTACGTATAATACAAGCCTATTTTGCTCTTCATGAAAAGAACACCAATGGAGTGGCAGAGGCTGAAAGCATTGTGGGTAAAGGTGTTGATCTTGCTCTGGATCAATGGTGGCAGTTGCCTGATATGTCTATTCATTCAAGAATTCCTCTTTTACAGCAATTCCAACAACTAGTCGAAGTTCAGGAATCATCTCGCATCATTGTTGACATTGGCAATGGAAACAAAAACCCAGGAAATGCTGTTGTTGGTGTGCATGGTGCTGCATATGCAGATCTGAAGGATATCCTTGAGACATGGAGACTTAGGACTCCTAATGAATGGGACAACTTGTCTGTATGGTATGATTTGTTCCAATGGAGGAATGAAATGTATAATGCAGTCATTGATGCATTTAAGGATTTCGGTTCTACAAATTCACAATTACATCATCTTGGGTATCGTGATAAGGCATGGAATGTTAATAGACTTGCCCACATCGCTCGCAAACAAGGGCTTTATGATGTCTGCGTGTCTATTCTGGAGAAATTGTATGGGCATTCAACTATGGAAGTTCAGGTTTTTCTTCTGATCTTGTGAGTTCAGAATTTATCTGCCTTTCAGCAGAGTTCAGTGTTATCATGCTATCTATTTCTTTTTCAATTACTTGCAGGAAGCCTTTGTGAAAATTAGGGAACAAGCCAAAGCTTATTTGGAAATGAAAGGAGAGCTAACTAGCGGTCTTAATTTGATCAACAGTACTAATCTGGAATATTTTTCTATCAAACACAAAGCTGAAATTTATCGTCTTAAGGCTGATTTCTTGTTGAAGCTTAATGATTGTGAAGGGGCAAACCTTTCATATTCAAATGCTATATCCCTTTTCAAGAATTTGCCAAAAGGATGGATTAGCTGGGGCAATTTTTGTCACATGGTATGGGTTTTCTTATCTTTTTCTAATTTATGATTCATTTGTTGTTACTTAATTTTTATCCTTCCAATTTTAGGCTTACAAAGATGCCCAAGAGGAGATATGGCTGGAGTATGCAGTCAGCTGCTTTCTACAAGGGATCAAATTTGGCAGCCCTAACTCTAGAAGTCACCTTGCTCGAGTTTTATATCTTCTCAGCTTTGACTCTGCAAATAAGCCTGTAGGAAGAGCATTCGATAAGTACTTTGACCAAATACCTGACTGGGTTTGGCTTTCTTGGATTCCCCAGCTGCTTCTTTCCTTACAAAGGAACGAGGCTCCCCATTGCAAGCTTGTTCTATTGAGAGTTGCTTCTATGTATCCACAGGTAATGTTATATTTTAGGTTCACTTTGTATGCTTTCTATATTTTGTATGCTTTCTATATTTTGTTGAGTTGATCTTTCTCTAATTTCAGGCGTTATATTATTGGTTACGCACATATTTACTTGAACGCCGTGATGTTGCAAATAAATCTGAAAATAATAGTAGAATGGCAATGGCCCAACAAAGGATGCATCACAATATCTCTGCTGCCAATGTGACTGCACCTATGGGGTTAGCTGATGGAAATGCAAGAGTAACTGGCCAGACTAGCAGTTCATTCACAGACAATAATGTTTCTCAAGGAACTCAGGCTGGTGGAGGGATAGGATCTAATGATGCTAGTAGCTCTCAGATTCAGGAACCTGAAAGGTCAACCAATGTTGAAGCTGGCGGTATGCTTTCTGGAACTGACTCATCCTTGCACCAGAGTTCAACTTCGGGTGATGGTCAGAATTCGATAAGACGTAATACCACCTTAGGCCTGGTTCCTTCTGCTGCTAGTGCTTTTGAAGCTGCAAAAGATATAATGGAGACCTTGAGAAGTAAACATACCAATCTGGCCAGTGAACTTGAGGTAATTAGGTACCCTTAAACATACCCAATCTTCAGTCATCTGGATCTCAATAAGCGTTTTTTCTGTTAGTAATTGAAAACATAATTGGATAAGTAATCTGGAAAAGGATTATTTCACCTTTTGTTCATATAAGTATTTAATGAATAATATTTTGAAAATTTCTCAAAATTCAGGATTTCTAATTTGCTTAGTCAATTAGTACATCCGTTGTCTCTTGTCTTCTCTCAGTGTTAGTGAATCCCATCTGAACTGACCTGTTATCTTTTAATTTTATGTTGGCTTTAATACATATCATACACACGCTTTCCTTCTGTTATGCACTATTAGTAATGTATTATGGGACATGATGCATTTTATCTTTTTTTTTGTGTGAAAAAAGACTAAGCAAAGTAATTTTATGTTCTATGTTGTACATGTTGGCTTTACAATATCAATCTTGTAACGGGACATGTCCATATCAGCTATCTTGATTCATTGCCTTCTCATGATAATTTCTATCGAAGGAAAAAGAACCTATTATGATGGTTATGGAATTTCATCTAATAAAAAGATGATATCATCCAAAGGATGCGCAGGATTTATCATAGATTCTGCTAACAATGAAAGGTTGAAAGGTGCAGCATATTGGAAATGATGTTTTGACTTTTGAATTGTACACAAATGATAATTGAGGGTGTCACACATGGTTGAGATGAAAGTCAGTTGCATAGATTATGGACTCACAAAGAGGAAACTGAACTTGTAACTTGTACAAGTGTTTCTATTAGAAACTGAACTTGTGAGCTGTGACCTCCTACCACCTATATATATTTTAAAACCAGACTAGGAAATCGACCAGACCAAGTATCGGGACACATGTCAACTGGGACACGGTTTATGCCGATGAAAACATAAAACTAATATTAGGGATGGCAACGGGGCGGGTTTGGGTGGGGTTCATTCCCCCATCCCCCGCCCCATGTCTAAAAAGTTCTCCCCATCCCCGCTCCGTCCCCCGTTATTCCCATCCTGCCCCATCTCCACCCCACCCCGTTGTCCCCCACGGGTGCCCGCGGGTGCCCCCATATAGATTTTATTTATCTCATTTGCATATTTTTAATCCATTATACTCCCTCTGTCCCTCAATTAAGCTCCCAATTTGACTTTTACGGTCTTCAAGGTGGATGTTTAACCCAAAATATAAAAAAAAAAATATCCTTATAAAATCTAATATAAATTAATATTTGAATAATGTACATTCTAATAAAGTATATAAACTTAATTTTGTATGATAAAATTATGAATAGTTAACAGTCAAAGTTTATAAAATTTGACCCAAAAAGTACAACTAGGAACTTAATTGTGCGACAGAGGGAGAATGTGTGAGTGTGTGTAACACTGAAAGAGTTAAATAAGCAGATAATATTGTGTTTGATTAAAGTTCTTACTGCCAATTTTTTATAATTCTTTGATTTGAATAAGTGATGTGAAGGCAATGAAAGTAAAAATATAAGTAAACATAATCTTCCAAATTTCTCATCAATTATAATACTATTAATTATATAATTATACATGTGTGTGTGTTCTATTTACTCACATTCTCACTTTTAAAACTCATACAACATTTATGATAAATATGTATACATGTATGGTATGGTACTATGGTATACTAAAACGCATACATGTATGGTATGTGTATATGTACATGTATGTCTTTCTTATATAAAACATACTACCCCCGTCCCGAAATCAAGTTCCCATTCACTATTCTATTGATCAACTCAAATCACTCTTAATCTTTTACTGTATATATCAATTTTTTTTATTAAATTTAAATTTTCTTGATCAGGCTTTGTTGCGGTTTTAATGAAGTTTCTGAATATGTAATTTTTATTTACTAAAAATAATCTGAGCGTGAACAGCGATCAAATTGCTTTATCGTTAGTCAAACCTCGTAAACAGCATCAGGAACTTCTTTATGGGATGGAGGACGTATAATTTAATTAAACATGTTTATACATTATTTATGTATGTATATATGTGTGTTTATATAAGTTTGAGTATATATTTATAACGGGGACGGGGCGAGTGTAGCAATCCCCATCCCCGCCCCCGCCCCATCCCTCGCCCATGGGGCAGTTCCCCGCGGGTCCCCGCCCCCATTGCCATCCTTAACTAATATAGTGAAGTACATATAACTATTACCTCTGTCCCAATTTGATGTTACCAGTTCTTATTCACATGGTCAACAAAAATCACTCTTAATCTCTTACTTTATATATCAAACTTTTATCAAAATTTAATTATGGTTTTTGCGACTTTGTAAAGCTTTTAATGTAGTTTCTGAATATGTAATTTTTTTCCCTAAAAACAATTTGAGTGCGGACAGGGATCCGTTTGCTTTATCGTCGGTCAAACTTCGTAAACCGCAATGGTATCATCAAATTGGGATGGAGTATATCATTATTTGTCAAGTTTAAGTGAAAAATTACTACTCTTCATATAGTCCAACAATGACAGTAGTCAAAAAGTGGGAAAAAAACACATCGTACCACTATAGCAAGGGCTTGAATACATGCCATTTGCTTAAAAGGACTGGGTATTACCAGCCTGGATCAAGCTGACTGGGTGGTACGGTTTTTGAAATATAGCCTATCACTACATCCCAGTGGCTTACCATTTTAATAAAGGCTTGATTACATGTCATATATGTATGTATATATTTATATATAGGGTTCAGAACAGATGCAAAGTGTGCTTCCGGTACAAAATGCAAATTCATCTCATCCGTCCAATATTTTAAAATCAATGGCAGAATTTGTTTTGAAGTCTAACAATCAGCCGTATTATTAGTGGGGGAGTTTGTTTAATCTTATAACCACTACACGTCTACACATACGAACCAACTTAATAGTTAGTGGGGGGAGTTATCCATCCACACCATTATTTCAATTCATATGGATGGTCAAGATTAGTTTGCACTTTGTAAATTGAGATTACTTTGTATGTGATCCTAAATCTATATATATATATATATATATATATATATATATATATATATATATATATATATATAATATACTCCGTAGTATAATAGCATTTAGGGTTTTCTTCATCACCGGCTGTTTATTGTGCCTCTTCCATTGAAGCCTTTCTGAGAGAGAGAAAACAATAATAGGTCACACTGACATTTTGGAATGCTCATCTTAAGACTTCCGTCCCTGGCACACGCCTGTGCCAAGTTTGTGGTAATAGTCTTGGACTTGTCAGAAGGTATGGTCTTAATTGCTGCACAGTGCTTCAGCAACAATGACACCAAGATTGGATTCATCAAGTACTGCTAAAGGATCACCACAGGATTGTTCTCAAGAAGAGCATTTTGATCATTAAACTATTTGAACAGAACTATTTTGTTGCAATGATAACTATGACGTTATTCTGCTTTTTCAAAATGTTTATGGGTTTGGTGTGTTTTCTTGTTTAAACTTGTTGAACTTCATGATGTCCTTTCTATCTCAGTAAATTGTTATTGCAATTAAAAAAAGCAACTTTAATTAAGTCCAACTATGACACACAAACCAATAATAATATCCACTTCGGATTATAACACTCTTGTGGTTCGCTTACTACAAGGAGGGTGCCACTAACCCTACATTCCTCAACCTTCCCTATAGTCTCAAGGAGGTCAAGTGCTAAGTGGTTGATTTCCTGTGTTCAATGAGAACTATATATAATTTATATGTTTTCTTGTAGTGCTAGCTCCTAATGTTTTTATTTTTGTGTTTGTGTGATGGGATTCTTAAAGTTTCGGTTATGTATTCGTATCTTACATTTTGAAGAATGATGATTGCTTTATGTTTCTTAAAAAAATATGCACTTTGGAAATGATTTGTAATAATACCAACTATATGAACTAATGAACATATAACAAAAATAGACAGAACCATTTTCCGACCAGAAATCCAGTCATTTAAGACATAAAAACTGATATCAAACAACTAAGAATAGAGGTTATTTTGAAATGGGGTCACTTATTTGATATTTTGATATAATTCTTGATGAGCTCAATGACTGAATTTATAGTGGAAAATGGCTATGTATCACTTGTTATATATCCAAATAGTTGCTATTATTAAAAATTATTTCCAAAGTATGTATTATTATTAATCCATGGGTGATAATTGGTATTATTTTAAAGCTATTTTCCCAAAAAATATAATATAATATGATAAAACTTGTAAAATATGGATTGTCTAATTTCTTCTCTTGTTGAGTGTCATGAAAGTTGCATATAGAACACTGAATGATTTATATTACTGCTCTCTACAGATTTTGCTCACGGAAATCGGTTCAAGGTTTGTCACTTTACCAGAAGAGAGATTGCTGGCTGTTGTTAATGCTTTGCTCCACCGATGTTATAAGTACCCAACTGCAACAATAGCTGAAGTTCCAATGTCTTTAAAGAAGGAGCTGTCTGGTGTCTGTAGGGCATGCTTCTCTGCAGAAGCCGTGAACAAACATGTGGAATTTGTAAGGGAGTACAAAAACGAGTTTGAACGAGATCTTGATCCTGATAGTACAGCTACATTCCCAGCGACACTCTCTGATCTGACAGAACGGTTGAAGCACTGGAAAAATGTTCTGCAAAGCAATGTTGAAGACCGTTATCCAGCTGTTCTGAAGCTTGAAGAGGAGAGCAGGGTGTTACGAGACTTTCACGTTGTTGATGTGGAGGTTCCAGGACAATATTTTACTGACCAGGTAACTTTTATAAACATCTCAATCAGTTCTCCATTTTATGCTAATAATTTTATCAATATCAGTATGCGCGTGGTAAGGATGTTCTTACTTGGACTGTAATTTGCTGGTCGGGTCTGGTCTGCTTAAGTCTGATCTGGTCTGAAGTCTGAACTGGTCTGGTAAACGTCTGGTCTCTGTGTATTGTATAACTACGGAAGTCAAGTATGGTCTGTTTAGTCTGGTCTGGTATGTTTAAGTATGGTCTGGTCTGTTTAAGTCTGGTCTGGGACTGAAAACAGTCCAAGTAAAAACATCCTAAGAAGAGCATAGGAAAATATCTTTTCTATTTAAATATATCATAGTTCATTTTGTAATTAGAGTTGTGTGAATCCATGTAATCAAGGATTCAAGATACTATTTATCTTAGTATACATAACAACACAAGGAAATTTTCTCTTCTGTTTTAATATACTCCCTCCGGTTCTTTTTAAACTTCACACTTTCCTTTTTGGGACAGTCCAAAATAAACTTCACACTTCCTTATTTCCTTATCTGGCAAAGAAATCTACATCAAAACAGTGTTAAACAGTGTCTCAACAGTGCCAAACAGTGTCTCAACGGTGTAATCTACAGTAAAGTCAAATTTATTTTCTTAATCAATGTGAAGTCAAACTGTGAAGTTTAAAAAGATCCGGAGGGAGTATCAAAGTTCTTTTTGTTCAATAGTGTCATGAAACCGTGTCATGGGATCAAGATATTACTTATCTTACCTTTTTTTTTTTTGCTTTTTTTTAACTAAAAAAATATATAAGAAAATTGGGAAAAATTGCTTTGTGTTTTTTATAATGTTTTAAAACTAAACTTATTAGTTTAAATATGATTAATTTTTAGTTCCAACATTACAACATATACCAAATACCCTTTTGAATCATAAAACAAAAAAGATAAAAAGTGGCAACAGTACTCAACATCGATGCAACAGGCATCTATATTCTCAATGTCAGGTTGGAATTATTTTAGCATGCAAGATGAAGCAACAATTTTCGTACACTTGAAATGCTAATTCAGAAAGCCAATTATAGTCCTAACTCTATTACCTTTTTAGAATTGTTTATTGCATTCAAAATTGGATTAGAGTTAATTTATTTTCTTGCCTTATGTGGGTAAGGTTGGGAGATTAAGATAAGAAGCTTGAAATCAATAAAGATGAAATAACTCCAAGCAATAATGTTAGGGATCCAGCACCCTCTATTTATTGTCGATGATCTTATTATTGAATCGAGCACCCCTCTATTTATTCTAGTTTCAAGAATCAAGAGTTTTGGTCGACCATCATTATAGTACCCTAAACCTATTATAATAGTTCTATTAGGAATACTAACTGAAATAGAGTACCTATACTAATAGAAAGCTAATGTCACTAATGATAATAGGTCGTCTAAGCAGTGTTCTTGAAAGGGGAAATTAAACCATTCCACTGTGCGTGGGATACTTTTCTCAAAGAAATTGCAGTCGGAACCCTTATGGCCTTGTGTAACAATGTAACATACCATCACAAACACCATGTCTCGAGATATTTTCATTTGCAATGCTGCTACAGAAAAGGCATCTCTTGTGGATTATTCGCGTGGTTTGCAATCTCAGATGGAAATGTAGAGGCACACTTCTGCCACTTCCTCTGTGGCTCTGTGATTGGAATTTGGAACTGGTCTCTTCCAGAAGAATGAACTCACGGGTCAGCTGGGGTTCAGGAGCCGCTTGGTTTATTTGATCCAAAACGGAAGGTGGTATGGTGGTGGTTTTGGTAGATGACAAAGAGGGTCCTTCCAGTGATAACGGCTGTCCGGAATGAGGATTTTTTTGGACACCGAAGCGGACGACGTTGTCAAGACTCCAAGGAATGACTGTAAAACAAATTATGATCTTACTAGTTACTAGAGTTCCCTCTATTTATATCAGTTCCAAAGAGTAATCCAAACCTATTACAATCCTACTATAAGGAATATTAAATTGAATACCCTTACTGACAGGAATCTAATATTACAAATGATAATCATACTACTACTAATAACAAATAGTAATAATAATAGGAAATCTCCTTCAGCAGTTTCTCTCCATTTTCCCTTTGCGAGCGTGTTATTAGTAGACATGCGTATCACTTTATTTTCTTTATCCTTCTATGACGAATAAGATTTCACATTTTCTTTGTTTTTAAATTTATTTTTCTCTTGTTCGTTGTCACAGGAAGTAGCACCTGATCATACGGTGAAGCTGGACAGGGTGGCAGCTGACATTCCAATTGTTCGGAGGCATGGTGGCAGTTTCCGGCGCTTGTCGCTGATTGGGTCTGATGGTTCACAACGCCATTTCATTGTCCAAACATCACTGACACCTAATGCTAGAAGTGATGAACGAATCTTGCAACTTTTCCGTGTTATGAACAGAATGTTTGACAAGCACAAGGAATCAAGAAAGAGACACATATGTATTCACACACCAATTATCATACCTGTGTGGTCACAGGTGAGTTGAGATATCTTTTCCCAAGTATTACTCCAAATTTTAGTAAAAGTAGTTTTACCTGAACCAGTTCTTGTGTGATTATCTTGAGCAGGTTCGCATGGTGGAAGATGATGTGATGTACAGCACATTCCTTGAGGTGTATGAGAACCATTGTGCTAGAAATGATCGAGAGGCAGACCAACCGGTAACGTTTTTCAAGGAGCAGCTTAACCAAGCAATATCTGGTCAAATGCCAGCAGATGCTGTTGTTGAGCTTCGCCTTCAAGCATACAGTGAGATAACAAAGACTTTAGTGACTGACAGCATATTTTCACAGTATATGTACAAAACCCTGTTGAGCGGAAACCACATGTGGACATTCAAAAAGCAGTTTGCTATTCAGTTAGCACTCTCTAGCTTCATGACTTTCATGCTCCAAATCGGAGGCCGGGTCCCAAACAAGATATTGTTTGCTAAAAACACCGGGAAAATATTCCACTCTGATTTCCACCCTGCATATGATTCTAATGGAATGATTGAATACAATGAACCTGTGCCCTTCCGGTTGACCAGGAACTTGCAATCTTTTTTCTCCCATTTTGGTGTGGAAGGACTCATCGTGTCTTCTATGTGTGCAACAGCACAAGCTGTGGTTTCACCTAAAGTAAGAATGATGTTCTGCCTTTATAGAGTTGATGCCAGATTTAGTCATTTAAATATACACTATTTTACCCAACTTGGTCAAGGTCTATGCAATCTGCATCAATTTTAATTCTCATTGCATATTTTACTCTGATTAAGAAGGATATTTTTGGCCTATGGGGAGTAAATATGGTTAATTTGGATACTTAAGTCCAAAGTTGAGTAATAGATTGGGCTTAAGTTTGGTGGGCAGATGAAAGTACCCACTAATATCGAGCCAATCATGTATGAGGACCAGTTGGGTGCAAATTGTATAGTCAGGGACCAAATTGAGTTGCAAAACAAGATGTAGTACATAGATGAGGGACTAAGTCAGTAAATCATGTATTACTCATTTTGTAGATGAAGTAGGATAGTTAACCACAATTTCCACTCATTCTTGCAGCAAATCCAGCATCTATGGTACCATTTAGCGATGTTCTTCCGTGATGAACTGCTATCTTGGTCTTGGAGAAGGCAGCTTGGAATGCCCGTGGGTCCTGTTGCTGGTGCAGGTAATCTTAACCCGGCTGAGCTCAAGCAGAAGATCACCACAAATGTTGAGCATGTGATAGGCCGGGTCAATGTAATAGCACCACAGTACATCTCCGAAGAGGTATGGACACAAACATGACCTTTTTTCTCCAACATAGTGACAATTAAATTATTTCAAATTCCATCAGTCCCTATATTTTCTTCTTTTCCGCACTAACCTCCGAACTGATACTGCCGCCTCCCTCCACTGCCAACCACCGGAATTTCCCTGGGAGCGCCGCTAGCCAAGTCAACAGAAGAAGGGTTAGTCTGTGCAGGGCCGATCCTAAGATTTTTTTGGTCTGAGTCGAACGGTATAAAAAGGCCCTTAAGCACCATAAAAAAAATATGGGTATTAATAAATATAACTAGAAGAATCATAAGCAAAAATTAATTGATTATTATTAAACAAAAACGTACGAGTTAAATAAATGTTTGGATGATGATGACTTGATGATGAATGTTGAATCGTATGGTCTCAAAACAAATAAATAGCACTTTCCCTAAACTCTGGTCTTCAATTAGCAACGACGATTTCAGAATTTAGAACACAAAATTGACATTTAAAAACACAACAATTACATTAAATAACAATTATACATATCTGGGATGCTATGGAGTTCTGGGCTGAACTTCTATGCTTCTAGCCTTCAAAGATTGATGTTGGAAGCTTGGACTTCAAACCTGGGAACTCGGAAGTTGCAAACGAGAGAGCAGAGCCGCAGATGCAAGGGTCAGTGATCGGTCGAGAGCTTCTAATCAAAGGAAATTCAAATTGGGCCTATTATGCTATGGGTATATATATAAAGGGAGTTAATAAATTTCTGGGCCCTATTTTTTCCCCAAAATTATGGGCCTGAGGCGGTTGCCTCTTTGCCTCTACTATAGGTTCGGCCCTGAGTCTGTGACAGTGACCGTCTCAGGCAGTGGTGATGCTCACTGGCATGCTGAAAGTGACATATATAGTCTCTTTTCGAAGTATTTGAGTCATTTGACAACCAGTCACAATTTGTCCATGATTGTTTTTTCAATGAGTGTTATTTTAGTTTTTTGTTTTGTCATTTGTAATCCAATGTATTTTCGACACGATTTTCACTATGAATCATTCGGAAACAGTCTCTCTGTGCTTTAGTACAGGGGTAAGACTGCGCACATTCGACCCCCCTTACCCCACTGTAGGTGGGAGCCTTTGCGGCACTGAGGTGATGATGATGATGAGATGTAATGCAATGTAAAAGGAATCACTTTGTAGTACAAACATCCGCTACAAATTGATTACATTGCAGCGCAGCGAGCGCTACTCAAAGACACTAAAACTGGTGTTCGCAGAGAATTTTCTCCCAATAGGATAGTATGTTCTTGCATATATATGGTCAAAAAGGAATGTTTTTCATATGTTATTTTTATATCAATCAGGAGGAGAACACGATGGATCCTCCACAATCTGTGCAGAGGGGGGTATCTGATTTGGTTGATGCTGCCCTTAGTTCGAGGAATTTATGCATGATGGACCCGACATGGCATCCCTGGTTTTGATTCATTTTTGCTAACGGCATCCTTTAATATACTCTACATTCATGCCAGGTGGATGATATAACCAACTTCTCATGTAAATTACTGTGTAGCTAATTATGTGGCTGTTTAACTTATACTGTTAATACTTGGCATGGTAATCAGTGTATATGAATATATATTGGGATGAATATAATCAAGTTTCATGGTAAAGTCTGAGTTTCATACTTAAACAAAGACATTTCAGCGAATGATATGGAAGTATGGAGTATGAAATATATATTGGGACATGATCGCACTCTGAGTAGCTCCACGCAATCCTGCTGTTGGTCAACACAAAATCTGACTCATTGTCACGTACAACTCTAATATTGATTGTTTATATTAAAGCTCGTTTGAAGGAATTGAATGTGTCATTTTTGAGTCACAAGATTCCTAATAATCCTTTCTCCTTTAAAGGGAGTTGATATGGCTCTTTGATTATCTATAGTTCCTTTCTCCCTTTTCTTTTGATTATATGGTTTGCAGACTGCAGTATGCGGGCCACTGAACGGCTGGAAAACACATAGCTCGTGTAAGGGGTTTGGAATGGAATTGTAAATTCTAAAAGTGAGTATCAATTTTATATTTATGAAGTATGAAAGCGAAACCATCATAGTTTTTACCAAAAGGATTTTGACTGAATGTATTTTTCAAAGGATCATATTTTTTCAATGTAAGCATATTACGAGCAAGATTGAGACCGGGAAAGGCAGGCAAGGTACCGGGACCGGCCAATCCGTTCCCGTTTTCAGTCTGATTTTTTTATTCTTTTCCAATTTTTTACATGATGATGATGATGATAACTCATACTACGTATATAATTAATTTAGCATTCACTTATTATAATTTAACATGTCAACCGCTACAAATGGCCATGGCCCAACATATAATAGCCCAACATTTATCCTCCAATTGCCAGTTTTGCCACACACCTTGTATTTTCATGTGTTTTTTGTTACCTTTTGAATGCTTGACCTTCATTTGAAGCTAAGCCGTTGTCATATTTTGTCTTTTAAAGTGCTGGTAGAACATATTTAAGTGTTGACATGAATTCCTCCATGGTAGCAATGTAGTCACTATAGAATTGGACATGATAAGGCAATTAATGTGATTTTTTTTTAATTGTGAGAAAGACTTTTATCATATCATTCCAAGAATAAAATATAGGCTCAAATACTTTTTTTTTCCCTGAAAATATGATATACTTTGTTTTAAGTCTTTGCATTTTGTTTTTTGTTTTTTATCCCTGAAAACTATTATGTTCTTAGTTCATCTCTAACTTCAAAATCACTCTATTTAGTTTAAAAGTTTTGAATTGCCTAAATCTAATAAAAACACTTAAATTTACACTTTTGTATTTTTTGAAGCTAATATGATAGTTAAAATAATGCAAAATCAATTATCCACATTTCAAAATATACTTTAAAAACCTTCTACAAAATAAAATTAAATACTTTTCGAATAACATGACAAAGAATTAGAGGAAATATATTAATTAGGGTTATTTCGAGCTCAATCGCAGATTGGTATCAATAGGGTCAAAATAAAGAAAATTAATACTCCGTATAAATTTCAGGGATGTAAAACAAAATGTACTATATTTACAAAGACTAAAAAGATATTTAAACCCAAAATATAAACGTTTATTTTATTTAAAACAAGCCATTTATCACCTTTATTAAGTACAGAGTTAGGAAGCACGGAAACTCTCCATGGCTCATGTTTTCACGTTTCGGAAACTCGGAAGCGTTTCGAAAACTCGGAAACTTCAAATTCCCGTTTTGGGGCCGTTTCTGTAATTAAGAAAAATTTGGAAACCCGTTTCACTACGTTTCGGAAACCTCGGATTCCAATTTTTTTCTTTTTCAAAAGATTCTGTGGTGGAAAATAATTTTTTATAGTGAATTTTTGTGGTATTTCTCAGCGGTAACACTTGTTACATTTCGTAACGCAATGTATTGCTAGAAATGTATTACTCCGTACATTTTATGTTTAATTATGTACCAATATGAAATAATATCTAAATTCGAACATGTAGAGTGATTTTATTTTTTGGTTACTAAACAAATTGTAATAAAAAAACATGTGCATATGGAAAAACTTGTGTACATATATTAAAAAATATTTATAAATATATCCTTATATTTTATAATATTTACACGTTTCCCCTACGTTTCGTGTCCTATATTGTTTAGAAATTACGTTTCTCGCGTTTCCCGTTTCCCGTTTCTCGTTTCACGTTTCCCGTTTCCCGTTTCCGTGCTACTTAGGTACAGAGTACTCCAAAAGATTTATGAAAGTTATGAACATCCGGTATGGTCAATATATGGGATTAGGGGTGGACTTGGGCTGGGTCGGTTCCGGTTCGGGCCTGGGCTCGGCCGGGCTTTTATTTGGGAAAGGTGGAACCGGAACTTGCCCGAGTAGCCGGCGGTTCAGGGCCGGGCCGGGCCGGTTCGCATTTTAGGGGCCCCGAGCCCGCACCGGGAACTGAGTGATTCCGGTTAGGGGTGGGCAAACGGGTCTTGGAACCGCAGTCCGGTCCGGGTAATGGCGGTTCGGGTCCAAAACGGGCCGGTTCCATTTTTTGTTGCCATAAAACGGTCCGGGTAAGGTCGGGTAATTTTTTTTAAAGAACCGGTCCGGTTCCAAAATTAAAAAATAACGGGTACCCGGCTCGGCCCGTTATATATATTGTATATTAATTTATTAATAGTTTTGTGATAATCGGTTTTGAAATGGTTTTGTTTCCTTTGCTAGAAGTAGAATTTTAAATTAAGCTGCAGTAACATCCTTTTGTTTTCAAATTATTGATTAAATTTTTCATAAATATCTTATTATTTTTTATTGATATTGAGTTAATTCCTTTATATGGAATTTAATTATTTGTTAAAATGATTTTGTTATATATTTTTATAAAATTGTTCTTAAAATATATAAATTGTGTTTACCACCCACCATGTATGTGTCAACTTTGGCTAATACTGAAAATTTAATTAAAAAAAGCAATCACTTTAATATGTGATGTTAGACAACATCACATATTAGAAAATCATTGAACCAGAAACCGGCCCAGCCCGGCCCGGAACCGACGGTCTCCCGAGCCGGTTTCAGTTCCTTACTTGCCAAACAAAAGCCCGGCCGGGCCCAGGCCCAAACCGGAACCGGCCCGACCCGGCTCCATCCCTATGCTCAATACCGTAAAATAAATCTAGCTAGTCAAATCAATCTTTATTGATAAATTTGGTTTCATTCAATATTCAATACTCTGTACTACCTCCATCCCAGAATTAACTTCGGTTTTGTCTGGGCACGGGGATTAAGATATTAGGAAATGTGTGGTGGAGAGTTGTGCAGAGAAGAGAGAAATGTGTAAGAATGGTTGTGCACCACAAATCCTTTGCCAAAAAGAGAAATAAGAGATTAATTTGGGACGGACCGAAAAGGAAAGAATGAAGATAATTTCGGGACGAAGGGAGTATATATTTTGAGTAATATGCTTACATAGTTACATTAAAGGCTTTGCTGTAATCATGTGTTTCTTTTACCACCCCTTCATTGATTAATTAATCGTGTTGTTGAGTATTAAGTAAATGCGTGTCTATAGGTATTAATAAGTGTAAGGATGTTTCTTTGTGGACCGAAATTTGCTGATCTGATCTGGTTTGGACTGGATTGGTCTGCACTAGTCTGATAAATGATTGATCTTTGTGTATTTTATAATTATGGAAGTCTGGTCCGGTCTGATCTATTCTAATCTGATTTGGGACAACAATCCAAAAGAAAACCTCCTAAATGATGGTTAACACTTGACATGATGACGTTATGGACGAGAGGATGTGTATCGTTATTTAGTCTAAACGTTTTGTGGTTTTAAATATTTACAAAGGTTATATCTAATTTTCATGAGCCATATGTGGTCCAGTGGAATGTGGAAGATAAGATAGAAATCCACCATTATATTAAGAGCATCTACAATGATAAAATGTGCACGGTGCACACGTGGCATGAGAAATGATCACATAAATATTAGTAAATAAATTTTTTCTCTCCTTATTTGAATGATTTTATACAGTTTTGGTAAGTTTTTCTCCATTATGTCAAGGAGACCGTCTAGATGTTGACATTGTTGTTGACATTGCAGAGAAAAACTTAATAAAATTATATAAAATCATTCAAATAAGGAGAGAGATAATTTATATGCTAACATTTATGTGACTATCACTCATGCCACATTATAGCATTGGAGATGCTCTAAGTTTTCTTGTACATTTCATAACCTAGTTGCCTAGTTGGCTAGTTGGTGTGAAAGATTTGTATTATGATGATAGATGATACTCCGTATTTGATTCCTAGATCTTCGATGGGTTTTGGAAAGACGGCCAAATAGGAAAAACTTATGGCATCGCCAAAAAAGGGAAAAAACTTATGGGTTTGGGAATTCAGTGTGAGAATGTTCAAACATGCACTAATATTGACGATATAGGATATCGCTCTTATTCAACAGTTGATCGTATTAGATTTAGGATTTTTTGTTTTGGACTGAAATTTGCTGGTCTGGTCTGGTCTGTTTAAGTCTGGTCTGGTCTGGTCTGAACTGGTCTGATCTGGTCTGGTAAACGTCTGGTCTCTGTGTATTTTATAACTACGGAAGTCTGGTCTGGTCTGGTCTGGTCTAGTCTGTTTAAGTCTGGTCTGGTCTGTTTAAGTCTAGTCTGGTCTGATCTGTTTAAGTCTAGTCTGGTCTGGTCTGGTCTGTTTAAGTCTGGTCTGGTCTGGGACTGAAAACAATCCAAAAGAAAACATCCTTAAACAAATCATACAAGACTAGATAACAAGATCACGCCAAACTGAGATAATAGTAATGCTACAAATTTTACCAATTCTGATCAAATTAGGTATAAATCAAGACAAATTTAATGGATTAGACTAAATCAAACCATACCATAAAATTTTAATCCAAATGAAAACATTCTTAAACTACAAAAAAAAAACAACATTCTTAAACTACAAAAAGAAACAGCATTGTTCTATAACTTCAAAAGACATCAAAATACACCATGAGTAATAATCGATCAAGTGAATAAAAAGGGTACAAACAGAAAACACCAACATTTTCCATCTTGGGTATACGTCAATAGAAGCAAGAAAATACCGATATACGAAATCTTATTATTTTAATCGTACATATGAATGATAATTAGCTAGGTATAACCGACAAAAAGAAGCATTAAAACGACAATAACAGCAAAAACCCAAAAAAGAAAAGAATCAAAAACAGGGATGAATTAATTAAGGGCATTTACGAGTGTTGTTGTGGGTAGTGAGTTTAAAATAGCAGGGGCAATCTTCGTAATTTCCAGAAGTCCCATGGGGTACGCAATTGCACCGGGCGCAGCAGCTGCCGCAGGACCTATTGCACAGATTTGGTCTCTTTGACTTCTCACACCTTCCCTTACAAGCTCCGTTGCAGTCTGCCAAATTGTGTACACAATAAATATATCAAAACTGCTTCCTATACACATGTTCACGTCGGTTTTTACAACAAAGCCTTAGTCTCAAACGATATTGGGGTCGGCTGGTTTTTACAACAAAGCCTTCGTCTCAAACGATATTGGGGTCGACTAACAACCTAACATGAATCGATGCATGATATCACCAAAAGAAAAAATAAAATTGTACAGTGACATTGATTAAGAAAAATCGTCTCCGACACTTTTCCCTTCAATTATTGTCGATATCACGGGCGATTTGATTTAAGAATCGAACAAAACCGATCAAAGTTATCGGTGACATAGACAATATTGATGTAATCCGTTGACGCGATCACATAGATGCGTGTTAATGTGTAGACAATATTGCACAATAACAATTTTTCTAAATATATATTCATTTTCCTAGAGGTACAAACAGGCCCGGTCCTGACATTTTATGGGCCCGGGACATTACATAAAAAGTAGGCCTTGCGAACAACGTGGGAATGTTTATAAATTTTTATAAAAAAATGTACGTAAAATTAAGTAGTGCAATTGTTACATACAATATAGAATTTTGAATTAGTGAAAGAAGTGAAAGTTATGTCATTTATGGAGTAATGTTTTCATATTTTAAATCATGTTTTCACTAGATCAGAACAAACTGCAAGGTTCTAAATTCTGAATATTATAATTCAGTCTTTCACTTACATGAGAGAGCCAAAAGAAATTAGCAAAATCCTATCAATGAATCACGGAATTACATGAGAGAAGTAAATGGAAAGATTGACATTTATGCGTCAACCCTTAATGAATCCAAAGTAATGATGAATTTTATTCCCAATTAATTATGGTATGGATGTTACAAAACTTTAGAATTGTATCTTGTAAATGTTATTGAATAAAGAATTGAAAGTATCAAAAAAAAAAATTATAAGTTTTATTTCATTTTAAATTATTATAAATAATATAATGTACATAAATTTAAAATATATATATATATATATATATATATATATATATATATAATTGGGAAATTTATGGGCCCTAAGGGAGCAATGGGTCCTGGGCGCATGCCACTTTGCCCATGCCCCAGGACCGGCCCTGGGTACAAAATATATCAGCACTATATTTGTATTAGAGAAAACAGGCAAATAAGCCCTTAAACTATTTGCGTTTTTGCAGGCCCCTGAAGATTACAAATAGGAGTAAAAACGTTTTGAAATTCCAAAATAGGAGTATCGTGTTTTTTATTCCTTAAATAGGAGTAATCTGCCAAGTTTGGAAGAAAATGCCATGTTTAAAAGCCCTGTAATGCCAAACTTGGCAGAAATTTACTCCTATTCAGGGAATAAAAAACATGATACTCCTATTTTGGAATTTCAAAACGTTTTTACTCCTATTTAGGTCAATTTCTGTTACAAATATACCCCTCAACTCATTGAAAATCAAGCAATCAAGTCCTTTTTTACCCGCTGGTGTCGATAGTTTCTCATTTCCTTACCTGCACCAGCAGGTAATAAAGGACCTGATTGCTTGATATTTAATGAGTTGAGGGATGTATTTGTAATTCTTTCGGTTCAGGGGTCTGATTGCAAAAACGCAAATAGTTCGAGTACTTATTTGCTTGTTTTGTCTTTGTATTATTGGTAAAAACAAAATAAAAAATTCCTTTTGTTTTTAAATTTACCGATGACTTGTGGCTGAGGACTTGGTGCTGGGGAATTGGCCAAGTCTACCTGTACGTGACAAAAACAAACAATGACGGATTGTGTTATTCTGCTTTTCTATATACTCAATAGTATCTTCAAATCTTCGATACAATCTGCAGACATTTGAGAAGATTGCCTAACATATGTAAAAATTAATTCTCTTGTCCAATTCGCCTGTCTTACTTTAATACATACAAATAAGGCAAATGCGCCCTTGAAATAATTTAAAAGGTGCAAATCACCCTTATATTGGAGGCTCTGTCCGACCATCGTCATTTGGGATGATTCCCGGTGGAATTTTTGATCAAATCTTTTGAGCATCTTCTTCATTAAATCCAGTTTACTCATATCAAATTTCAGCTAAAACATCAATATGAAAGGCAGTCAAATGAATTTTTGAAGATAACTGCGCATTTAAATAGCGCAGTACATTTCAGAAAATCATTTGGTATGGGTAAACAAGACTTAATGAAGAAGATGCTCAAAAACGTTTATCAAAAATTTCACCGGGAAGCTCCCCAAATGGCGATGGCCACACAGAGCCTCCTATATAAGGGGCGATTTGCACTTTTTAAGTTAGTTCGAGGGCCTACTAATAATAACTAGTGTTTATTAGCTGAAAAAGCTTTTTAAAATTAATTAGTCCCAACAATTTATATGCCAAACATGTCTAAATCAAATAGACAACATTTTATCGAACACCTAACTCATTTTTTTTCAAATCTTTTCTGTCACTAAAACTATCCATTACTCCATACTAAAAAGCTAATTAAAATATTTTTTCAGCTAGTTCCAAACATACCCTTGACATAAGAAAAAATGTGCATTTCAGAACTCTGTTAAGATAAAATAATGCAGTCATAGATTACTCCTCAAATAGCCAAGCAGCTTAATTTTTCAGATTGCAATAACTTAAAGCATATACTACGTATAGAGTGTGACAACAATTGAAGGTAGTAAAAATACCTGGTAGCAGTAAAAATAAATTTAAAGAATAGAAAGTAATTTTGATCTTGCCATAATCATTCTTAGTGGTTTTGATTAGAAGGAAATGAAATGAAATACCTGATAATGTTGAGCATTAGAGAAATGGATGAGGAGCAGAAGTATGGCGGCGAGAAATGAAGCAGCAGCAAGTGGTTTTGGCAAGTATGCCATGTTTGGCGACCTTCTAATCTTATTAAGAAAATAAATGTCGAAATGTGAAGCCGGACTTAATTGGGTCTGGTACTCCCTATTAAATAGCCGCGCCATACCAAACTACACCCCACCTTATTATGATTGTTCCGCTAGCTGGAATATAGTCACTATACTTCATTTTCTTCCAAAAATAGCACACATTTACGCTTATTTTAGGAAGTTTTTATTATTTTATTTAGTTAATGTAATTAGATAATTCATAATTTGCGAGGATAAATAGTTAATAGTACCTTAGATTTTTATTCATGTTTTATTTCTATTTTGGATAAATTCTTTTAAAGATATACTCCGTACGACCGTACATGACAAGAAAATGAGGATTCCAAACCACTATTCACGTGATCAACTTAAATCATTCTTAATTTTTTGCTTTATGTATCAAATTCTTTATCAAATTTAAATTTTCTTGATCAAGTTTTGTAAATTTTTAATGTAGCTTCTGAATATATAAATTTTATTTACTAAAAATAATTAGAGTATGAATAGAGATTAAGTTGTTTTATCGTCAATCAGCATCGTAAACTGAATCGGGAACCTCTCTATAGGACGGAGGGAGTAATTAATTAATTGCTAAAGTTTGGGGGTGGGCTAAACTTGGGCTTGCACATTTATTGTGTTGGAGACTTGAGATTTTTAATGGTACTTTAATTTTGTGATATGCTTTGATTTAACTTTTAAATCTGTGATGCTCTAGTCTGGTTAGATATTTGTTAATGTGTTATATTTTTAGTTTACAATTATCAAAGTTTGATTTGTTTATAGTTGGTATATTTAGATAAGATCCGTCCTTTTCTGATCTAGTTTGGATAGAAATTAATCAATTTTTTTGAATGAAATTAATCCAATTAAAAACATCATTTGAGATACTTGAAAGTAAACACAAAAAGGTTACTTGGTCACTTGGACAATGTTATTGAGTAGAATTTAGTTATGAATTATGCCCTCCTCCTCATTAGCATACCCCGAAAGGATTTCCATCTCAATGCACTATGAGATGAAGTCATATTTTTCACCGTATGTGCCACTTATTGAAGAATGTAAGAACTAAAAAGTGCTCTTTCACTTTTATTTATTTCCGTCCGATTATCTCATTTTATCTTTTCAGGAAGTCCCACTAAAATTGTTCCATACCAAATTTGGTAAAGTTTTGTGGCTCTAAATCATTCTTACTTTATTTTTACTTTATCAATTTTATATCAATCATACAAACTCACTTTTCTTAATAATCGTGTCACATTCTCTACCTTCTCTTGTCTCAATCTTAGTGGAACGGGGGTAGTATTATTTATCTGTAAAAAATGGGGTGTAGATTCGGTACATAGGGCTTTAACAACAATGGGTCCAGACTGTACGTGTATTTAAAATTTTATATTACACCGTAGAGAAACACAACTGGGATAGGTTGAACTGGGCAGGGGCACTCCAATCACATTGATGAACTGTGGCCACAAAGAACACGGACAAATTATAAGTTTTTCTGATTTTAATTTCATTCAAATCATTGGAATTTCTGAAATTCCAACTCAACCGAGCGATTGATTTGCTGAATTATAAAAAAATTTAAATTATACAGAGTTTGAATTATATTTTATTAATAAAATAAAGAAAAAACAATATGGTAAAATTTTAAATAATTTGGTTGAGCAACTTCTACCAATTCATCAAGAAAAAACTTTAATCTCCCACTGGACATGTCAATTTATATAGTGAAAAAAACATGCGTAGATAAAAATGGGATCACCAAGAAAACATGTCAATTTAAAACCATGTTCACAGTTTAAACTCTTGTCAAGTAGCTATATGTTTTTTTGTGATGAGAATTACAAAATTGAGAGCCCGTTTGGTGACCTCTTTTTTCGGCTAATCAGGATTATCAGTCAGCTTTTTCACCAAACACGTAACATTTGATTTCGTGCGCTGAATTGTGTAATAAGCAGAAAAAGTAAGGTTGGAGTTACTTTTCTGATTGTATTGGCTGAAGTTACTGTAGAGGATCATTTTAGCTATTTTTCATATAATTTTTTATTTTATTTATTAATAACAAATATTTTAAATATAATTTTTTCATGAATCAACAGAATCAGCCAATACAGCCACTTCACTTAGAACTTCATAAATTTCAGCAGAATCAGTCAATACAGCCAATTTTAGTGTTACCAAACAGGCTCTGAATTTGGTGAATCACATCCTTCTTCCTTTCTTATGAAGACCTATTTATAGTAGAGTAATTAGAAGGATACAATAAAAACTAAATATTATCCCATAATTAATACTTAAATATACAGAGTATTAAATAATATCGAAGTTTATATCAAACTTGATATATCTTATATCAAATATTGAATATCAAATTTATTAGATAATATCATGATTTTTTGATAAATTAAAAGAAGAATGATAGTTTTATTCTACTCCGTATTAAACGATCTCATAAAAAAATCTCCACATTATTTCATTAAATTATTTCATTCTAAGGTATCCTTTTATCACATTCATATCATCATATCCTATATTAGTTTTCATCATTTCGTGACTAATTAAGTAACATATAGCTGTAATCGACACTTTGGTCAAAGCAGATACAAGTAGATTAATTGAAGAAAAAAGAGAACATACAAAAATTAGGGGAATCTTGATAAGTTGCAAACTACCAATATATACCAGCTGGCTGCATTTTCATGATAGGGCCATTATATATGCGGTAAGCTGTCATGCGCGAACCTTTTTGTATAATATTGTGGGGTTTAACGGGTTTAATGCACCAAACACTCTTGTCATATAGTAATTCGACATATTAGTCTTTGTGATTTAAAAAATGTGTCAAATCCTCTTGTGTTTTAATTAATCGTGTGCAAAATTCCTTCTATTAACAAATTTAATTGTCAAATAAAAGAAAAATGATTAACATTTTTGTTTGATTTAGAGATTTAGACATATTTACTTGCATATTTAATCAAAATATTATGAAAAGTGATTTTCAAATCATTAAATTTATTTATAAAGGGGGTTTTGTGCATGATTAATTAAAACACAAAGAGGTTTGACACATTTTTTAAATCACAAATGGTTAATGCGCTGAATTTCTGTATCACGAAGGAGATGGATGCATTAAACCGGGTTTAACGCCTAAATCTAGGGATCTAGGGGTGTGCAATTCGGTCCAACAGTTCAATTTTTTTTTTATTTCGGTTCAGTTTCAGTTTATTAGATTTAGAAATATTATATTCAATTAAAATCATTTATGTTTTGATTTAAAGGTAGTTGAGTTGGGTTTAATTTCAAATTTGATTTTTCAAAGTAAATATTATTTTGTTCAATTTAGTTTGATCTAATTCTGTTTCATATGTTTAGGTATTGATTTATTTGACCTATACATCCAAGTCTTATCGCTTAGAAATAGGAAATGAAAGTAGTAGTTCTCCCAACCTTGTTGTATTTATTATTTAAATAAAGGCCTTTTGGCATGAATGTTACTAAAAAAGAATAATAGACAAAAAGTGATTTGTTTTTGAAATTTTCAAATTAAACATATGACTGACATCAATTCAATATTTTATATTATGTTTGTTTATAGATGTACTATCTGTGAATGGTATTTAAATCGCCTAGTATAATATGGATGAGTTGGACTGCAGTTGACTATTCATAGTGTACGGCGGGTTGTTGACGTGTCCGGTATAACCGGGGAGTAGTATAATAGATTTGGATGAATGGAGGAAGACGGCAGAAATGAAACAGAGAATCGATTTCAAGATGTGCGAAGGGATTCAATTGAGTTCTGGATTGTGCGGATGAGCGAAAGGATTCAATTGAAGGATAAAATCCGATGTGATGTTCAGTGATATGTGGAAGCTGCGGCCTGCTATGCACAAAGAAATGAAAAGTTGAAAAGTGTGGGATGAAGAACGGTGAGCGATGTTCCTATAGATAAACGGGGATGTTTAATGAGAAAATGATCAAAATGGTACATGAACTTGTTTGAAAGTGGAGTAAGGGGTTGTTTACTTTTTTTTCCATTAAGTCCTGAATGGATTAAGACGCCTGTCTGCATTAAGGCGTCTGTTTGGATTAAGTGACACAGAGATAACAAGGTGTTTACTAAATGTGCTGAATGGAAAGTCTGAATCATGTTAAATGACCAAATAACCCTCCTGTCTGTAACAAGTGCTAAATATCTATTGTCTGTTTACTTTCCTTGTTTTGAATGATAAAATTTATATGCCTGAAAATATTAATACTATGAATCACTTAAATAAAAGAGTCATATTACCTGATAAAATAAAGCCAAGAGTTTTATGAGAAGAGTGTGAACTATATAAACAATTTCTTTAGTAAAATAAAGCCAAGAGTCATATTACCTGATAAAATAAAGCCAAGAGTTTTATGAGAAAAGTGTGAACTATATAAACAATTTCTTTAGAAAACAAATACGAAGTATTGAATATTAAGCTATACATTTAAGAATCAAAATACATACGCAGATACTCGTATTTGTTAGGAGAATTGGCTGTCATCAGAACCAATCTCATAGGCTCGTAGCTTTATCCAAAAAAAAAGGAATGAAGATGGCCGTTTTGCCTATCATTTCTATTCCAATTAAATTCAGCCAAAAAAATGAAGATGGGTGCTTATATATGGTGAGCGAGTAGATTGCTTGGGAGTTTACATCTGGTTCAAATTCGACCGAGCAGAGCATATAATAAGGGAAGAAATTCGACCGAGCAGAGCATATGATAAGGGAAGAAGATTAGAAGACGATCAACCTTTAATTGCTTTCTTTGGTCCGTCAAAGAAGAACTAGTTGTTCAAAGGTTGATAAACGAAAGTGGAGTATTATCTAGGGTTAAAAGAGGGAAGTGGGTGTGTTCGGGTGTCTGAGTGCGAAGGAGTGTATTTTTCCAGCTGAGCGAATAAGTCATGTTCTGTCTGAGCGAATAAGTCATCCATTTTATTAAGTTGTAAGTAAACACAACTTAATGAAGTTGTGACTA